ATCTTTAAGTGCTTAAAGGCTACGTGAAAACCGGAAAATAAGGATCCATCCGCACCTTTCCGTCATCTTTACACATACGTATATTACCCTTAAAAATGCTTAAACAATAAAAATACGTTACTTACTTACAGTTAAAATATTTAATCATCATTTAAGACATCTTTAAGTGCTTAAAGGCTACGTGAAAACCGGAAAATACGGATCCATCCGCACCTATCCGTCATCTTTACCCACACTTATATGAGCCGTAATAAATGCTTAAAAAATGAAAATACGTCAACTTTACTTACAATTTAGAAATATTTTCATCATTATTTAAGACGTCTTTAAGTGCTTAAAGGCTACATGAAAACCGGAAAATAAGGATCCATCCGCACCTTTCCGTCAACTTTACACGTACGTATATTATCCTTAAAAATGCTTAAATGATAAAAATACGTTAACTTTACTTACAATTTAAAAATATTTTCATTGTCTATTTAAGACATCTTTAAGTGCTTAAAGGCTACGTGAAAACCGGAAAATAAGGATCAATCCGCACCTACGGAAAGACCACGTAACGTCGATCTTTACGTACTCGTATAAGACGTGTATAGATGCGTAAAGACGGAATATACGTTGACTTTAAGCATAGTTTAAGCATCCGTAAATACCGTTTTTCGTGCCGTGCTGGATAACGTGGAAAACAATGGAGAGGGAAGACGATAGTTTATCTGGCCTGTTGGATTGTTTATATTGGATGTTGGCAACCTTTAAAACATTATGCTATAAAAACAAAAGACCTGCAGTTATCTAGGATCACTTTGCCCACTGACAGTGTGTCGGAGAGACCGGGCACGCCTTTGTCACAATTATCTGACTAAAGTCATTATCTGAAATAATGGACCCTATATATAGGGACTCGAGATGCCCTTAAGTAACATTATTCGAGACTGTTATATAAATATTTGGCCTGCCTCATAGCTTGGTGACGTTTCCATACATGTCCTATGGTGCGTGCGCTACGATGAGTTGACATATTTTTGACACAGCCAATGCTTGCTGGCCTCCCAATATGTAGTAGTATTTATATAAATAACCATGTAATAAAGGCGAGGAATGTTGGATCCTTTGTTCTCTTACACAAGTTTTTGGAATCACCACAACATTGACATCACGAGTTATGTAAATGCTTCTGTGCCAACTCGATCCTTTACGGGTGACCGTTTCTCACCTTCACCTTGTCCCGTCCTCGTTATTACCTCAGCCGAAATAGTTATGTTTTTGGTAGGGTTTGCAATGTAACCATGTGTGTGGTGTAGCAGCATATAATTTCCAAACGCCTTTAATGGATTGTCACCGTCGAAGTTTGGTATATGGTTAGGTTGAAGGAATTTGAGCCCCCTGGCGGCCTTCCTAAACAATGCAGCAGTTTTCCTATCTAGTGTTCGCCAAACTATATTGTTGCACTTGTCCCTCGCTATTGCAGGATTGAAACTGTTTGATTCTTGTATTTCAGTACCTTTCTAAGTCCTGCACACCTTTTATAACTTTCCTGTCTATAATACAAGCTTGGAACGGATGTGTTTTGGGGCCGATACAGTCCTATTCTGGATGATATGGGTGGCCCTGAAAAGGGCCGGGGTCGTTATAGTAGGTCAGTTAGTCTAGCCGCCGAAGCCGTACAGAGTGCGGCCCTGGCGCTTCAGAGCGTAGACAACGTCCATGGCGGTGACGGTCTTGCGCTTGGCGTGCTCGGTGTAGGTGACGGCATCACGGATGACGTTCTCCAGGAAGACCTTGAGGACGCCACGGGTCTCCTCGTAGATGAGACCGGAGATACGCTTGACACCACCACGGCGGGCCAGACGACGGATAGCGGGCTTGGTAATGCCCTGGATGTTATCACGCAACACCTTACGGTGACGCTTGGCGCCTCCCTTTCCAAGACCCTTGCCTCCTTTGCCACGTCCAGACATGATGCTTCTTTCCTTGATTTAGGATAGAGAATGTTCTTGAGACGTAAGTTGTCACTTTTATACGATATTTACGGACCTCAACGGAGTGACTGGGTCGTTGCCCTTCCACATCTCTCAACGAATCAAAAGCCAGAAAACGAATCTGTCCAATAGTGATTGAGATAATTTGACCAACCACAGCACGATTAGAAAATAGCGGCGTATCCAATTGCTAATTTTCCCGCCAAAACCACCTGTTACCCGTCTCTTTTTATGATATGCAAATCGAGTTGGTTCCGGACGTGGTCGTAACAGACTGGCTGTCAATGCATCGAAATAACTGATTGGATGGTAAATGATCAATGCAAGCCCTGCATGATTGGTTATCTCACCATCCTGGATCCCTCATTGGTCGCCTTCTTGGTCCGCTACGGTCCTATAAATTTGAACGAAAGCCCTTTCACACTTAATTTTGCATCGACATACGTTGAGCAAGAACGAAACAAACATGTCTGGACGTGGTAAGGGAAAGAAGGCTAAGGGGAAGAGCCGATCCTCCCGTGCAGGGCTTCAGTTCCCTGTCGGCCGTGTGCACCGTTTCCTGCGCAAGGGCAACTATGCCAACCGCGTCGGTGCCGGCGCCCCAGTCTACCTGGCCGCCGTGCTGGAGTACCTGACCGCTGAGATCCTCGAGTTGGCCGGCAACGCTGCCCGTGACAACAAGAAGACCAGGATCATCCCCCGTCACCTTCAGCTGGCCGTCCGTAACGACGAGGAGTTGAACAGGCTGCTGGGTGGTGTGACCATCGCCCAGGGAGGTGTGCTGCCCAACATCCACTCAGTACTCCTCCCCAAGAAGACCGCCGCTAAGAAGTAAATATTACGGCTCTCGACAGTCCCCCGGCCCTTTTCAGGGCCACCTCAATGTTCACAAAAGAGCTATAATAGTTAATCACTTCAGTGTAAATGTTTCTGAGTCTAGGGTGTGCCTCAAACAAAAATTGCCCTACTTAGTAGTAGTTGTGCTTATACCTAGAGCGTTCAGGACGCGTGGAGTATATTGTTGACTCCCCATTCATTGCAAAGGGCTTTCCGGGCAACCATGGCATGTCGGTATTTGGTAACGTCACTGGGCTCAACACTACACGGCGCACAGACATGAAATACGCTTAGAAAGATTATCTACAATAAACTCACTCCATTCACCTGCATCATATATCGTTAAAACCATGCTAGCACCAATAACTGGCTTTTTTTTTCAGTACCTGTGCGTTTATATCGCCCTCTAGCTTTTGTTATTGATATAATGTACTCGGATGTCTGTTGACTCCGTGTATCAAGAAGCTTTACAAAGGTGGACCGTTAGGTTTTAGATTTCAGTGGAGGCTGAGCAAACACAAAGCCGCTAATTAGAGACTGGACAAAACACGGGCATCAGTGCGCACTAAATAAGAAATGTTGACGTAAAGCTACATCCACATACATTCGTATCCATATAGGGAAACACCAGAGCACTTAGAACACCTCTGTAGCGCTGCACATATTGCAGTATACTTGATTACGCAATAAAAGAAATATATGACACGTATAGTCCGTTCTGAAGTATGTGGTGGCCCTGAAAAGGGCCGGGGTTACTTGGGTCAGGCTAGGTGTTTAAGCACGCTCGCCACGGATACGGCGGGCCAGCTGGATGTCCTTGGGCATGATGGTGACACGCTTGGCGTGGATGGCGCACAGGTTGGTGTCCTCGAAGAGACCGACCAGGTAGGCCTCGCTAGCCTCCTGCAGAGCCATGACGGCAGAGCTCTGGAAGCGCAGGTCGGTCTTGAAGTCCTGGGCGATTTCCCTGACCAGGCGCTGGAAGGGCAGCTTGCGGATGAGCAGCTCGGTGGACTTCTGGTAACGACGGATCTCCCTGAGAGCCACGGTGCCGGGCCTGTAACGGTGAGGCTTCTTGACACCTCCGGTGGCCGGGGCGCTCTTGCGAGCGGCCTTGGTGGCCAGCTGCTTCCTGGGGGCCTTGCCTCCAGTGGACTTACGGGCGGTCTGCTTGGTACGAGCCATGTCGAAAGTTCTCGAGACGATTTGTCAAAGACGAATGAAATTTATACTTGCCGCGACATCTTTATAGTCGGACAACGCGACTTCCTATTGGTCAATTCCGACGTGGGATAGCCTGTGATTGGTTGATTTATCTCAGTGTTGATTGGCTGACATTGTAAGCGCGAAGTACGATTGGCTCCTTTCATGACAGGATTCTTTTTACTCGAAGAATTAAAAATTGCTACATTCGTGACTGAGTGAGACAATTTTCAGAAAGAAAAGGAAACCGAATGGCGGGAACTATCGAAAAGGCACAAAAATTTTCTAAGGGGTTCATGCAACCGTCATCAAAATTATCATTTCCCTAAAATGATGAAAATCAATGTATTCATTTAATTGCTCATCCATTTACTTGGTGGGAGGAGAGAAGTTCTCATGGGAGGAGTGTGCTTCAATTCAAATTTTATTGTCAAAATATAAAACAGGTGTAATTTTTATCTTTACAAGACTGTCAACTGATGCAAAGCGTCAATAGGTTACGCGACTTACCTGGACCTAATGTTATTTTTATCAATAAATCAATAACATACAAGTGTATATGGAAACACATACAGTCCTTTTTTAAATGTGGGTGGCCCTGAAAAGGGCCGGGGGTTGTTGGTGTGAACAAGGCGTTTACTTCTTCTTGGGAGCAGCCTTCTTCGCGGCCTTCTTCTTTGGCTTTGCCGCCTTCTTTGTTGGTTTCTTGGCCGCTTTCTTGGCTGCAGGCTTCTTTGCCTTCGGCTTCTTTGCCTTAGGCTTCTTCGCCTTTGGCTTCTTCGCCGCCTTCTTAGCCTTGGGCTTCTTCGCCTTCTTGGGCTTCTTCGCCTTCTTAGGCTTCTTTGCCTTGGGCTTGGGAGCCTTCTTGGCGGCAGCCCCAAGCTTGAAGGAGCCGGCGGCGCCCTTGCCCTTAGCCTGAGTGATCAGACCCTTGGCCAGCATAGTCTTGATGACACGCCTGATGACATGGCCCTGCTTGTTGACGTCGAACTTGTAGTTGGCGGCGATATACTTCTTGATGGCCTGCAGGGAGGATCCCTTGCGGTCCTTCAAGGCAGCGATAGCGGCGGCGACCATCTTGGCAACTGGTGGGTAAGCTGCCGGCTTCCTTGGCTTCCTGGCGACCTTGGGTTTCTTGGCAGGTGCTGCCGGTAAGACAGCGGCTGGTGCTGGGGAAGACATGTTTCTGCTCGTCTCAAGAGTGACAGTGATACCGTCCCGAAAAGTAACCAACTATATATATCATTCGAGCGGACGTAATCGGAAACATGTGAAATGGAATATTAGAAAATGGCAACTACACTCCAAAGTTGTGTTTCTTACTTCAAATGAATAGAAATATTTTGGGCTTTTCAGAGGGGTTTTAATTTCAGTGCACAGAATACTAAACGAACAGGGTTTTATCTTTTAGTGGAGATGATCTTAGTTTGACGGTTACATCAAGATAGAGAAATAAAGCTGGCCGATTTTGAAAGAGTGAATTTCTTAACAACAAATTAACAAATTAAACAATTAATAGTCAAGTAATAAAAACGAAGATAGCCTAAACAATCTCCGTGGATGGTGGTAGCATTCGTCAGCCTTTCCCAGACAAGATATTGTTGTGTAAGACGAAATATAAATTCAAAAATATTATGTTTTAATGTTGAGTAACATGGACACTTTGGGCACCCTCTGGAGCGAGCTCCGAGCGGGACAGCATATCACTTTTCATAGCAACAAAATATGGTAACGTCAGTAAACAAGTCCGCGCATCCAGGAGCGGTAACAATTCAACACAGTAAACAAAATTGCTCCAACAAAATAACAACTATTGCATTTTAGCCTTGGTTAATTAATGCTAGCTCCTGCGACTTCAATGATACATGTAGGATGGGGCAATAAAACGGATAAAACGGTTTACTACAGTCTGGTTCCCTTGGCTGGTCTACCCAACCCCCTTTGGTTGGACAGACCTGTTTGTGTGCGAGTGGAGTATATACAGTTTATGCTATATCTATACTATAAAACTACACATAGCAATTCCCGTTTGTTTGCTAATGTTTGTTGCTATCAAAGTGTTAAACAAATTGTTAAATTGTCCGTTGATAAAGATGGTAGCAGAGCCTAACACTAGTAACAGCTCTCAATAGGCAAGGTTGTACTGTGTGTAACGTGACAGGCACGAAGACAGTCTATGGTATTTATATAATATGTTGTACAATATATATGACATTAGAAATATTACTTCATCTTTTAAGGTTTTACAGTGTTAACGCTACATGAATTTCTTGAAATAAAGATTTTAACGTTATTAGTTTTGAGGTTTAAGTAGCGCTGCCGTTGCCTGGCCCTCCTGTGGAAATGTTAATAACAGATATGCCAAAAGCGGAGACCACAATGTTGATAACCGTGATGAAGAGGGACAGGATGGTGGTCCAGTTGTTAAACCTTGTCAGACTTTTCCCACGGAGGCCTTCGTCATCGTCGTCTTCTACGGACTGTCCGTACTTGGACACCAACATGGCTGCCAGCACCACCTGTGTGGGCATACGGTCGGACAGTTAAACATCAAATAAAACGCTTCTACTCCTTCCTCCCTCGAACGATCAGAGACTGGAACTCACTGCCTGAAGACATTATACAGTCTCCATCCCTGGCGACCTTCGCTTCGAAGGTGTCAAACCTTGCCTAAATCACATATTAGTATATGGTGACCTTTGACCCGTTGAACATGTCAGTAATTGTCGGAGTGACGGCAGCCGGACATTAACGGAAGAAGAAGAAACGCCTGGTGGACTTAAATTGATGAATGACAAAGATTTACAACTTGAAAGACTTAAGACATGATGAGATGCAGGATCAGGTTTGTTCTTCACGAATTTCGTTGTATTTTGTACATCTTCCTGGAGGTTGCCTCCTGCTGTTGAAAAAGCTGCAGAAAAACGCCGCAAAAACGCTCAAATAAACCCGTACAGTTATCTAGTACTTGAGATCCTGACCTGAAGTGTTATGGACAGGCACAGCAGGATGACGAGAACGTAGAAGTATCTCTGTTCGACTCCCTGGTCCAGGACTAACTTCAGCTGCGCCACGTTCGCGGTGAGAAGTGAGATATCCAGCAGGCCCTGCGAGTCTAGGTTAGCAATGGGCTTTTTGGGCACAGGAACCTTGAGACGACATAAAACGGTGAGCTAACGTCAGCCTTACTACACTAAACGTATTTGAGCGCGACCTCAATCTTTTACCCTTTATCGAGAGCCCATAAAGTATTTTGTAGACGTGATGTTGACACTAAAGTAACACTGTTGGTAACGTTACATGTTAGTAGTTTCAACTAGGAAAATGGCGGGATAACAGTTATGCAAAAAACAACTACGTAATTAATACTTTCTTGGGTGACAAGATCTTCACATGCAACGACAGCCGTCATATAGTCATCACACGGACGTAACCATACATGTACGATCGCCCACCTGACGCTCTGGCTCTGCGGCCCAGGCCGTTTTGCAGGTGTCGTTCGTTTCTCGTGATGTGGACGCCATAAGACTTGATTTGAGGGTGAGTTGCAAGTAGTCCTCGACAAGTTAGTGTAACAATCTTAAGTCCCCTTAATTAGTAGGCCAAAGTGCGCAAGACTTTGCAAAATGAACAAAACTAGTCTAAATCTCGAGCCTCTAGAAGGACAAAATGGATCAAAATGCCGTGTGCAATGAAACACCAATGTCGTCTGAGGTCGAAGTATACTTAGGTTAAAATGTATACTGCGTAGCCTTGGAAACGGCAAATATTTTCAGCTGGTACAAAGGACCGATAAAAGAATTGGGGTCATAAAATGCTGTATTATTTGCTGACTTCACACGTTGAAGTGTTATAGACCACATCGACGCCTGTACCAAGAAGTTAGGCTGTTAGCAAAGTGGTTAAAAAACTTGGTGCTAGGAACTCAAGTAGGGTTCACACGGTTCACACGATTTTTTTAATTATAAGGAACCTGCTTGTTACGTAATTTACGTCCGTAAAATAAACAACGGTAATAAATGCTGTGTTTCGTTAGATTTTTTTTCGTAGTGCGAAAGCTGGGACGCAACAGAAACGCTGCGTAACCAATATATCTCGCTAGATGTCATTGCTGCGTTCACACAGAGGTCACCAGCAAAGCTTGGACACGTGAGTCTTCAACAATCTGACGTCATGCCGGTCCCACTAGGTAGCCAATCAGGAGGCGCGGTGCAAAGCCGACCCCCAATACCCACCCTGCCACGTACATAGATGTCAGAACCGAGTTACGGTGGGGTACCGGTGGCTGTAAAGCCCAGGTACGGGAATAACCACAGGTAGCCTCTCTCGGCCTTCTCACAGCTGATCGAAGGTCTGATCAGCAGCTGTATGTCGGGAATGAAAATAATGGAAGAAGAAGAGAATCCCGAGGAGGCGGATCTGGGAGTGGAAGACGAGGACTGGTACCAAAATGGTAAATATCACCTTCCTGTTTGCTTCAGTGCCGCTAACTTGTACAGAAATCAATGAGATGTGAACTGGGAAGGACAAGTGGCCCACCTGGGTCACAGAACATGGCGCTCATAGGGCAGTGTCCAGCATGTTGTTTACGCTGGGAAAATGGCGAAAAAACATATGTTCTAAGTAGCAGGGACGGATCTGTAAAGACTGGCATCTTATCGGAGAAACCTTTACACCACAAAGCTCACAAAGGGCTATATTTACTCACTCAAGTACAAACACGTTTCACAGCCATATAATACAGAGCCTGCCTTTCCGACAGGAATGCCCCTGTACTGAAGGGGGATTTAAAATTTAAAGGTACGTGGCACGCTGTCACTGTGTCTGCTGCTGCGCTGTACCGATAAGCAGGCATTCCTTCCTTCCGTTCATATGAAACATGTGGAAATTCTGCAGCGGAGTAGCGCAGATCCAAAGAGTGACCTTTGCTCTTGATTGTAAGATTTATTGATTGGCTTCACAATCATCAAAACACCTTTGCACCTCACCTGCCTGTTAACGATAACCGTTAGTAACGGTAAAGTTCGCTCCTCGCCATACCGGGGTTGTTGTAACGAGAGTAAATCCTAGCACGGGCTGGCAGACAGAATTAACAAGAGAAATGTCAAGGGACTTGAGTCAAACATTTTCTTCCACCGTGAAGAAACCAGCTGTGTGTAGCGTTATCGTGTTGATGTTATGGTGAATCTAGCATGTTGGCATGTTGGTGTGTTTGGATAAGTGTACTCTGCGGTGTTGGCGTAACTCAGACGAACATATTTCAGGGACACAACAAGACTCTAGCCTGTGTGCATTGCTTCTCGCTGTAATTACGTTCAGCAATTATTCATGCCTGATGCTGATGATACTAAATGCGTCAACTTGTCTCGGCGGCATGACAAAATTCAGCAATGGCGACCAGAGAGGTTTTAGTGCATGAATCTTTATCAATCTGAAGGGAATACTGCGACGTCAGCTTGCATGCGGTCGTATTTTCAAAGGAACAAGGTCCACTGAGGTTAATGAACGTGTGAATCCTTGTTAGTAGCTAAGTGCCCTTCATTTCTTTTACTTGAACGAATCCTGATCCATTGAATACAGAATAAATTGTAATTTACATTTTAATCATTTGCTATCATGACACTCGCATAAAATTAATACTAACATTCTCACATTCGATATCAAATTCAACACCATGTATTCCACAGATCTCCAACTTGCTGCCGAGTTGGGGAAAACCTTGTTGGAGAGGAACAAAGAACTAGAAGGCGCCCTGAGACAGGCGCAGCAGATCACGGAAGACCAGGCGCTCGAAATAGAGGTAAGGAACATCATGCGTTATGGCGCAATAATGCATGTGCAAATATGACCCAGGAGTGCAAATATAACCTTAGCGAAAGTGTTATGGCGAGTAGATGCGAACAGCGCAGCTGTGTAGAATATAAACATGAGCGGTTTGATGTTTCTGTATTTGACAGGTCGGACAGAGCCGCTACTGATCCCTGACGACCTAGCAATGCTGCGTGATGCATTAATTTCCGACTTCAAAATCTCCAGACGTCCATTTTATGGTCAAAGGGAAAATCCAATGGAATAAATCACGCTTACAAAATATTATTGTATTCGATGCAGCCGAAAGTCACATCCATAAATGTGTGTATAGGGAGTTAAGGGATAATATGTTCAGAAAGGTACATTTTTTACACATTCGCAATTTGTGATTCTATAACAATCGGAGAAATTTTACGAGTAGCGATGACAGATGGTCAAAATTGGACTGAGCTTCAAATTCAATCAGGGTAATTAGACAGGATTTACATAAATTAGAAGCATTTCGTCCCGCTGCGAATTGTCATTGTGTGATTGAGATAATTCCCTGATAACGCCGCATGCATATGATACTAGTACACATTCTGTGTGGACAAGGAGGCTAGATTTATCCTGCTTGGTTTGAACAATGTCTGGACGGTTACAAAAGATAACGGCCGGGTCAGAGATCATTTCATCGTCCGAAATCTAGCCAGGGGTTAGAGCAAAGTAATGGCCTGTATTTGCAACTCTGTTGATGTTATCGAGTTTAGACCACGTGAAAGTGTTATGATATGATACGGCATCAATCATCTACTTGAATCATTGATTTCTGTCGCCGTCAGAACCAACCTGCTGAACCAACCTGCTGAAGTAAAAAAACGTCTGCGCTTAGAAATTACAAACAGAGGAAGTAAGACAGAAATGAAATAATTTGAAAGCTCGTCGTGCTTTGGGAGTGTGTACGCTGATATGAAGTCTGCAGAAATTCAATTATTCATTTATCTTCTCCTACCGGCTTTACGCGTAGAGGAATATTGGTTGTCAACCAATTAACAATTTACTGTGCAAATACAGATATTTGCTTTACAAATAGGCTGTGGGTTCTCCCAGGAAGATCGCTATTTGCTCTCTTTATCATTTCCCATTAAATCGTCACCTATGTCAACATTTCGCCAACCAAATTGAGCAACCATTTATGTGATACACACATATATATAACGTTACTTATACCATAGAATAAAAATATTTATATGCAGTGGATTTATTAGCCGCTCACCTTCCCTCATTTTCTTATAGACATGAACTGTATTTGACGGAAATTACATTTTCGCTCTGTTGCGCTTCGATCAGATGCATGCGTGATGGGCGAAGCGATGCGTTTTATGGAGCTTTCATAAAAATATCAATGTACAATACATTATATCCAGACAGGACAATCTCAACTACGTCATATTCGGTAGAGTTCAAAAGAACGTCGATTGGCGCAATTCTCATTTTACAAATTAATGTCCCGCCGTTATTTTGACATCGCAAATTATAGGTCCCACCCCTTCTTGTATCTGTATTGATTAAGCGGCCAAACGGAAAGTCTAGAACGTCCGAGACATTATATGTCCCTAATGATAAAACATGGCACCCGTGATTGAACGGAGGCGGACCACGGGTTAGTTGGGATGGGCTATTATTGGCAGGGAGACAGAAAGCCATAGGAAATCGATATAAACCAAAGATGTTTGGACGCACTCGGCAAATTACCATTTCTCTTCCTGCTCTCTTCTGAGAACTAATATGGCATATGACCTTCATCCTGAAGTTCGCGACCCTTAAAACCGCGAGTCTGTGTTTTTGTACGATGATTTAACAAAGTACTTAAACCTTTATTTCATTCTTCTTTAGCAGACCCTTTTCTGTCGCCCTTTATGGCTCTTCACTTTGTGAATGCTTCACTAGATAACCCTCCTGCCGCAGGCCTCCGCTAGCTCTATCTATGCCCGGTAGAGACATTCAGTGAGAATTCGAAGTTTGAATAAGCACAGACAAAATATACAGCAGAGCTACTGTAGTGATAAATGTACCCAGGGAACCAAGTGTAGACTTCCTGACCCTGGGCGGAAACAGAACAGAGCCCAGGATGTCTGCTGCAAGTCAACACGGAGCCGCCGGATCAGAGAAGGAAGTCTACAGTCAGGCAACATGTCCGCCTTCACAGCAACACGCCGCATAATATTGTCTGAATAAGGGATCATGGCATGATAATAGTAGCGTCTACCAGGCTTCGGGAAGTGACTGGAAAGAGTAGAAATTGGTCAAATAGACAGATGATATGCCAGGGGAGTGAGCAAACTGTTCTCTTGGCGCGGACTCTTTCCAGCCTGTTTCTGAAGCCTGGTAGAGGCTACAATGATATGTAGACCCAAGTTAGACCCCGTTCACACGTGTCTGTTTGATTATGTATTCAGGGCTTCCCAAAAGCATACAGAACTTAACTACAGATGTCTCTGTGTCGACATGCAGCTTTTTATATCTCCCCAAAATAACAAATGATATTTTCGGCTGTTCTGTATGGCGTAACTAAAAGGAATCGATCTACGTTTGCATTTTTGTAATTCTCTCATACTTTATCGTCTCACACTGGACGTCCTGGCTTGTCTGTATATATGGCCAAGTCTGCATGGGAGTTACATAAATATTTCATTCGGTTCATCCACCTGCCACGGGCCACAATGATCTCAATGATTGCTTGTGACTTTCAAAAGCCCAGTCATTCATACCAAACTAGATTACATTTAATACGCGTATCAGCACTAGACAATAAGCATGCGCTGAAGCAAATCTTTTCAGAAGGTATACCCTCGGGATTTCAAATTTCGCACCTAATAAGATCGGGGCGCAAAAGCACTGTATATATTCAGTGTCTTTTGGTGCACGATGCGTTCTGAATGCGAAATATGGCACTTGTTACCAGGTGGCTGTTCTTAGGAAGAGCTTTCCTCCGTGATTGTGACACGATGTGCATATATATTGCACCATGCTACAGTATGAATTGGGCCAGTCAAGCGTATATAGACTTGCGTCTTCTAGGCAAAGCCCCGTAGCGTCTTTCCGTTTTTCTTTCCTGTTGTCATCTATCTTCTCGTCCATAGTTGACCCAGTGTCATTGGTCCTGTCCTATTCCGCAGTATCTAGCCCGGCAGCTGGAGGAACTCCGCGAACTGAGCGAGTCGCGAGCCCGCCTGGCCGAGCAGCTAGACGGCAACTGTCAGGAGTTGGAACGGACCAATCAGCGGGCAGAACGGGAAAAGGAGGCTTTGCAACAGAGAATAGACAAGTAAGAAGCAAACTTTTAACGAAGGACTATCTTTTCGGTGATCTGGTTGTGAATTTGTCTGTTTGTTTGTTTGTTTGCTTGTTTGTGGCGAGAATCGGACCTAATGAATCTCTCTCTAGTTGTTCGACATTTTCTGATCTTTTTCTTATTTTGAATTTTTTTTCAAAGGTTTCATAATGTTTACTTTCGCCCTGAAATCCCTACAGTCAACATTGGAACACCGCTGTATAATAAATACCTGATAGAGGGTTGTATCATCAAGGCGCCTGGGTGCTCCAACATGCGACGTTGCACTTAACGCATCATCTATTACAGCTTACAAGTCTCCACGATCCTGTAATAACTCGAGCCTTTGGGCGTCAGCAGACCCAAGGGCCATCAGTTGACCTTTCCATATTCCATATTTCAAACACACCGCCTTACGCATACAAATCGACTTATCGTTCAGCCGGCCCCAGTAGTTTTGCGCTTGCACTAAATGATAAACGTAGTCATAAAACTTAAAGTACATGGGATAGAATAATATTTCATGGCATACGTGTGCATTATGCTTTAGCATAACATGACGTGTTCTAGTTCTAAGTGTTCACCGTGGTGTAAGCAGTCCGTAAGTCTAAGCAGTCCAAATTGTTTTAGAGTACTCAGTAATTTATTCATCTTACTTTTCCCTCCAGGCTTTGTGGGGATATCCAGTCGTTAGAACAGCGATGCGAAGAACACCAGGCGACCATCGACGAGCTGAAGCAGCAGGAGCGCCTGCGCAGAAAGAGGGAGCGGAGGAAACAGACGAACAGCACGCCCAGCTCGCTGGAGGTGGTGTGGCTCCGGGCGGCAAATATAAGGACATGCTACTGACGTCACGCTTTGTTCTCCACTCTATTATCCAGCTGCAATTTTGATCCAACTACCTAGTTCTCCAACTCATGTCTCTGTGCAGTAAACCATCCCTGTCACTCTGATTCATTAGATCAAATTAGCAGCTCATCCCTATGACGCATGTGCGTCTAGTGCAGTGTTTAGAAGCGTAATTTCTTGTATTATCAGTCTGCAGGGTGCGCTATCGATTTTCTCACTCACTGGCAGTAGATGAGTTTCGGGCTGTCTGCAGACACGATCTAGACTGTAGATCTCTAAACGGATCACAACAGCAGGAGCACTGGAGCACTATCGAGTGGGGAACAACAGTAGCATTTTCTTACATTTTCCCTCATAGCATCGTATGGGCATGAATGGCACTCGGGAAAGTGTTAAGTATCACTCAACAAACATCCATCTGTAATAGCTATATATTAAGCAACTTGTTAAGAAATCTACACATTTTGAAAACAGTAACAATCAAGGGGGAAGGAGAAGTGATACTAGATATAGCACCGTTTAATGTGGCCATAAAATTAACTCCAGTTTCGTATGTCCAAATCCTAGGTAGGAGAGTTCAGACGTGCCAACAGTCTAGACAACACCTACTCCAACGTGTTCCTGGCGAACAACCCGTACGAGTCCGAGATCAAGGCTCTACAGGACCAGGTCAAGACAGCGCAGGTCAGTGGGAGACACTAGTATCGTGTCTGGCGGATTTCATTAGCCTAGATCAGCTGAATGACTGGCTCTCAGAAGTAAGTAAGCGTTTCGTCTGTGTATTTATTTTTCTTCATTTCCTGAGCTCATGAGTTGTGCAATTGTTTTCTTCAGGCACAGCAGAATTTCGAGAAGCGGAAGCGTGACGAACTGGAGATGGAAGTGTCCGTGTTGATACACGAGAACCAGACTCTGGAGAAGCGGGCCCAGGAGTTGGAGATAGACGCCCTCCGTACCAAGGAGCTCGAGGATGAGCTCAGACAGATGCAGGACATGCAGGGGAACGTCTGCCTTAGATGTATGAAATCTATGCGGAACGAAAGAAGACCGCGGAGTAAAAGTGGCGAGAGTTTATCAAGTCTATCAGAGTTTAAACACAGAATCCATCAGGACATAGAAGAGGACAATGTTGAACTTGACGACACGGCAGGCGCCAATGGCGGGGTGGTGAACGGGGACTTGGACAGTGACGACAAAGGGTTTAGCACTGCTTCTTCGGACCTCTCGCTCAAGCGCAGCGAGTCGGACGACATGATGCAGAACCCTCCCAAGTCGGGGGTGTCGCTGCTGACGGAGATAGACGCACAGTACCACGCCATGAAGCAGAAGTACGAAACCCTCCTGTCCAAACTGTTGCCCACAGAGTTACAGCCCGATCACGAGCAGTTACCGCACGCCAACTCACCCTACCTGAGACGCAGACTGAAATCAGAAGCGTCGGCTGTGGCTGTAGAGAGGTCTAAAAGCAGAGACCAACTCCACCTCCTGATTAGCAAAGCCGTACAGACGTCACAACCTGTGTCCAGAAAAACGTCAGACGAAAACATCCCCTCGGAAAGTAGCCCACCAGAATATAAGTCTTTATTTAAGGAAATCTTTATGACCTTGAGAAAGAGTAAATTTGAAGAGTCGTAGAGATGTACAACAACTGTGGGCCGACAGCAGACACGATGTTGTTTGATAAAATCTGGCTATTTGAGTGATCACACTAAATATACAGACTTTTGATGACGCTGCTAGTGATAGAAACGGACGAGATATGGGTGCATGATAGTTTCGTGCCACTGAGTATTGGCTATTGGACTGTGGGCATGAAGCCAGCTAGCTGGAACTTCCTCAGTTATATTCTTTGGTGTAATTTGAATGGACGTTCTCTCTAGGAAAATGTGAAAGGGACTATAGGGATTCGACATGACAGGATTGTGGTGTAAAATTGCAGAGTTGAAAGTGGCGGGAGTACAGTGTTGATGGACGGTGTGGGTTTGAGTAGTTGGTGAGGATTATGTGATGGAGCAGCAGATAGAGATGAAGGTAAGCGGCAGAGCGATCGATGGAGAAAGGAGATTAAGACTGACGTGATCTTGACGTCACGGTTGGTACTTAAGAAGGAAAAATGTCGGTTCAGTAAAAGTTTAATGGTAATGTAACCCCCTCTCGTTTGGGATCGATTCACGACTGTTTACAGACAGATCGACTGGTGGTACTGTAGATGGCACGCAGTTCAGTTCGGGAATAACAACTATTTTCCTACGATTCTTCATCTAGATATTGTAAGATACTGTAGTGATGCACATGTATGTAACGTAAACTGTGCGGAATGTATGGAGATAGATATTCTTGTAGGACAAGTCTAGCTTAGGGTTGGTCTAGAGTAGGTTTACAAGAGTTGACACTCGTTGCAGAGAAACGTTTCGTACTTTCACGGAAAAGACACGTCTGAGCCGCAAAACCCCTCAGGGACAGAGGAAAGTGAATCTTCGCCACAAAGGCAATGCAATTACCATTGACCAGACCTTTGTAATTGATCAAATTTCCCCGGCGACAAAAAGCATTCTCTTGTAAAATTGCAAATGGACTCAATATGAGCCTTGGAATACATCCAAACATCGTGAAAGCGCCATCAGTTCAACTGCGAAGTCATAAATTCTCGAGGACAAAAATCGGAAAGTGAAAATGCAGTGATTTGAAAGCTATCTTTCTGTCAGTTTGAAAGAAAGAGTGAGACAATAACAATCCACGAGGCCAGTTGTATTGATTTAAGAAGGCGCCATTGCTTTGAAAGGTCAACCAGTCCCCAGGTATATATATAGCGGGCTGTATCGATTGCCGTATTGTGGACGAAAAACACAGACGAAACTAATGATATTGCCAATGTGGCACAAGTCACTACCTTAACTTGCCACTTAAGTCATGTAAGTGAAATAACAAAGAATTATCTATCGGTTCTCTCTTTATATATGTACATATAATTCAATTCTTTGCATAAATGGCAGCAGTACTGGTTGTTACAATGTTCCTAAAATTTTATTTTGTACGTAACTTTATAACATCGTGACTCACCAATTAAGTATTTTATTGTCTTTCCTCAAGGTTTTATGGAGTGTTTATCCTCAACTAATTTAATTTGTCCTCTGCATATCAGATATGGCAAGGGATAGATGAAACCATTAAGCTAAGTGCTGTGTGGATAATTGGATATGCACCACTTTAATGTGGATGGGTTCATTTCTGAATGTATGTCGTGTATACCTAGCCTTATTCTGTCATATTGACATTTATGCCATGAAACGTGTTTTTAGCTAATTTCTTGTCAATTGTAATGTTGTGTCCTCAAACTATTTGTTGCAAATGTTTTCGAAGAATATTCATGAAAATTTGATTGCTGGTGTCTGTACTTTTAAAAAAATGTGTGTTTTCCATTGTCAAACATGTCCATTGTATTGTTCAAGCTCATTACATTTTTTATAAGATAAATGTGTATAAAGGACTATTAGAGAAAGATTGATCACTAATGGAAATGTATTTCACAGGTGATCCATGACCTCATAGCTGAACTATGACCATAAACTATGACATCAAATGACACTGTTGTACTTTATTCCTTTCCCTGGACATCTCCTTTCTCGTACTGATCAAGAACTTGATATCTTCTATGCACAAGCGAAAATACTGCAGTGCATTTAAGATATAAATGCAATACATATATTGAGGTTTAATCCATTTCTTCTTCTCTGGAGTGTTGGTAATCAACACATTGTTTTCATCAGCAAAAACACAGCAGCATCTTAGGTTCACATAAAATACTGCAGATATGAAGCCAGGAGAAACCTTCTCCACTCCCCCAGCAGTAAAATTAGAATATGGGTCAAACTGTAAATCATTAATGATCTACAGTGGATTTTTCATTGCCTTATGTAGGTTATGTTGTGTCATTACACCTGACACAACTTCATTCATGTTTTGTTCCATATAAGACACCTAGAAATATCTTTTGGTGAGTGAAACAAGGTCTCTTTAGCTTTACATGGAGCAAATTCTTTTTTGTAGCTCATCATCCTTTTCTGTGAACAATACACCTACATGGTTTCTTTTTCACCAAAACGCTGATTATAATGCTTTGTGACAATATGTACATGTATAGGCATTTCCCGCTAGTAGACATCTACATGTATACAAATGAATGCAGAGGCAACTTACCAACACTGGCAAGTAAGGACAGTAGGTGTTTAGATAGTTGGTTTAATATCAACCAGTAGCATGGTTCTTTTATTGCCTCAGACAGCATTCAATGCTACAGAATTGCATTTCTTCAATGAACACTGGTAGTAGAAAATAGATCCCTTCTATAACGTTAACTCTTTTTTCTTGCCTGTAGCAGTTTCATACCAAAAATGTGAACATGACAAACAATAGTTAGCACCCTAGAAAGATGGATTCCTCCCATCTTCCATTAGTGATGCATAATATAACTTTGGTCCAGTTAACATTCTTCAACTTTAAACTCTTGCTTATAGTATATTTATAGACATTACCTTACTGGAAACATGATGTTAGACATTATGTTCATGACAAGCCAGTAACGATAGATGTGACCACTATATTGCACAGAGTGGTCCTAAAAGTCCAACAAAGTCCACTCCAGAATAGTACTGTACAAGTAGATGTGCGTTCAGGATTAATCAACTTACAATTAGTTACTTAACATCATTTTGATATATTTGAGTTTCTGAAACCGACAACAAAATAGACAGAAAAACAAAGAAAAAAAAGAAATCATGACTGAGAAATTATCTCAATATTCACAAAATAATTCAAAACTAACAGAAGATAATTCAAACCTATAGAAAATATCAACTGCATCAGACTCACTACTTTTCAATGCATATGCAAGAACAATATTAGATAAATTCAATATGTATACCAGAGTTTTTGCATAGAAAAAATAAATACTTTAAAGGTGAACATAAAGGTGAACATAGTTTGAAAATAGCATTCAACAATGGCATCTTGCCCATGTTCCCTAATGATCGATGTTTGATACACAAAGCTACTCATTCAGACCTGTCACACACAGTACAAAACATTTTGTGTGGAGAAGGAAACTTCCAGAGTATCCTTTCAACTATGCTGAGGTAACAAACTTGTGCCACCCTTCGGAAACCCTTAACGTGGCAGAAGGTCCGAAAAATTTCAGTGGGGGTACAATCCGTCAGGCTGTGGTGAGCAGCGCCCCCTTACAATTAGTGCGACATCTGCAGCTCCTCCAGGTCCAAAGACCTGAGGCTGACCAATCTATACCTGGCCAGATCCTTCCTGGTCACTATCCCCATCACCTGAGGAAGAAATTTGATTCTGTCAGTCATACCCATTGACCTCTTCAGAACAAACATAAGATAACATTGAAATGTGGAATGATTGCAGTGTCTTCATCTTCAACTTGTAATTTTTATCTTGCTCTGATTCTGATTCTATTATCAAGAAAGCTTCATAGGCTATAAATGACATTGAAAGAATGAAAATGAGGATATAGGTCAAATAATTCATACCTACCAGATTATCTTTGTTGACTACAACCAGATGTCTCAATCCAAGGGCCCGGAACAGACGGAAGACTCTGTGCAAAGATGCATCCTGAAGAAAAGAACAATTGTGCTAGACCTTAGTAATGGTGGCAAAGGATAAGGTGTAACATTTCTCTTTTGAGGACAGAAAGAGTTACATTGAAAAATCCCTGATGTAGCCCATACAAATTGTAACACATGATGCTATCAGCACATCTACTGGTTAACACCCATAGTCAACCCAAACCACACAATGTTCAGTTTTCACAATTAAACTGTAACATCAAATGATGTTTCTCACCTCAGACACTGTGTAGGGAGCTGGGTTCATATAAGGGCGAAGGTCAATAGAGCACTCCATTTCTTCTGGTGAGATGTTGATTTCATGAATGGATGGGAACCTAAAATGACACAATTGATGACATTTTCATAATTGTGCTCTTGACAAATAGATTATATAAGATAGTAGAGCATCATCAAATCATTTTATGCACAACTACTGTCCAGCACCTTGGGTAGGCTTCTCTGAAGTCCTTCATCTGAAGGTTTTTCCTGATGGCACCAGTCTGGCTTCTTTCCAGAAACATCTGCAGGGACAAAGTACAGTACAGGGCTGCCTTAATAACTACAACTGGTGTGAGATATAAAGAAGGCAAAGAATCCTACAGGAAATCAAGCATCAAGAATACATTTGTAAAGTCTATCAACATGTCCATGCAACATCTGATGCAATTAATGATTCATAAATGCTCTTGTAAATATGCTCTTGAAATGGTTGAACTGTATCCTGACCTTCCTCTTGATGAGGACCAGCAGGTGAGACCTGAGGATGAGCCCACGGAACCGCCCTGACGTCACCAGATCCGTCTGGACATCACAACAAGTAACAAACAATACTGTTACACACAAACAACTGTAACTGTAACATGACACCGTGTACTTTTATCGACAACTGTACCTTCCAAAAAAATCTTTATGTCATACACAGGCTGCGATAACGTTCCAAACGGGTGTTACAGCCCTTGTGATCACACGGTGTTTTATTTGGTTATCACATGCTCTTCAAAATATTCCAAAATATTCCAGAGATTAATTTGTGCACTGCTTTTGAAAATCCAAATACCAGATTCATACATTGGAATTGATGTTGTTACAATTTTTTAGTTTAGGGACAACTAATTTTGCAATATTTTGAATTGAAATGTGTATTTTTTCGGGTCGGGCTGGTACCTCGGGTGTTGTATTATATTCTACACAAATGAAGCCCACACCTCATCAGGTACATCCACCACAGGGAAGCCGTTATGGTTGGAATGTGGCTCCTTCAGAGCCTCCACAATCCTCCCCACCTTCTCCACCTGCTGCAGGGTCGTCACAGGATGGCTCATCACCTGTCTGATGGACGCAGGTCAAACATGGGTTTAGTGGCAGCAGTATTGTGTTTAAAATTTGTATCTGTCTTTGTATTTGTCCAGATTCTAGTCTGGGTATTAATTTTTACCCCAAAACAATATCTAAGTGGAAGTCATACGTGCCATCTTCCAATGTTGAGACTTGAAAATGCAATCTATTGCATTTGCTAGGTGAGGATTGCAGAAGATACAAACCTTGCTGAGATGGTTGTAGAGGTGGCTGGAGGCTCCCACCCTAGGATGGGCACACTCATCAGCCGGATGTGGATATCATACAGACCCTGCAGGAAAAATTATTCCAATACTAGTACCTCACAAATACACTACCGGTACAAACATCCTGGATCACAGCACATGTACAGTTTGATAATAATGAGGTTGTAAGCTCTATACAATAAAATCCATTGTTTCTTAATGTCTATATAGCAAAACCCGCTAATAATTTCCATGTTATAGTCGAAATTGAATGCTGCTTACCTCATTGAAAATATCTCCTACCCACTTGGCTATCAGCAGGACCAGCATGAGAGGGAGGCCGTACGACACATTCCCGGTCGCCTCCATCAGAATTACAGTCAGGCTGATGGTCATACGCACAATGCCACCTGCCAGAACATTTAGGTACACTGGTGTTGATAAAAGTTTGCATTTGCACAAAAGAAGCATGTCCAATTTTTAGTGCTACTCCTAACAAAATGTAGCAGCAAAGGCAAGAATGTTACGTGAAATTTATCAACCTAACAACTCTACAGAACACAGTAACTATAATGTTATGTACTGTAGGCAAACTGCAAAAGTTTGGGTACATGTTACTATTGATACTATAATTGATCTATACAAGGACATTATGTCCTTGATCTATAACAGCCAACAACAATCGTCAGATTTTTCTTAGCAGAGTCAGAGAGGACAGAGATTTCTTACCTAATTGAGCAGCTGCTCCCATGAGTGCATATATCCCAGGCTCTGACCATGCCTGGAAGAACACGTCATTCTGTACCACAGCAATGTTCACAGCAATTCACTTAATTATCAGCTAACTCTAGCTATCAGTACTATGTTAGCCTAGTCGTGTCTACTTGTAAGGTCACAATGAACAGATGAGCAAAGATTCCATGATAAGAAATGTTAATGAATATTTGAAACGATTATTGAAATTCCAACTCAAACCATCCTACTATCTACTAGTATTTAATAGAAACTCTTGAAACTGCAGCTTTAAAAAGCAAGAATAACCATTGATGAAGAACCATTAACTTACGATGGTGGGTAACAGATGGCTGACACCGATACCAAACAGCCGTCCCCACCCCGCACCACACAGCAGACTGGGGATGAACAGGCCACTGGGCACGCTCAGTCCGTACGTCCAGCAGGCCAGGATGAAGTAGATGACACAGAACACACTCAGGGTGACAATGTTGTAGGAATCTAATGGAGGAATGTACAAAAACAAGTACACTCATGTTACATTTAGTCTAAGCAGGCTGGACTCACTGCAGCCATATAATTCAAATACAATTTGGAGGACAAGAGGAGGATTGCGTCACCAATGGTCTGAGATACTGTTCCAACACATTTGGCTGCTAGCTTAATGTTTACAGTGAAGACAGATTTGTTTCTTGAACTTTCTTTTGTGAAAAGCTGGAAGAGCTGTCTTACTGGGAGGGTCATGGAAGAGACTCTTGACACTCTGCTCTGGAGTCTGGAACATCATGGTTGCCATTGTGCTGTATTCACCATCACTGCAGAAAAACTAGCGCAAGAAAACAAATAGTTATACCACAACATCTACTTGAAGCATGGACTACAAAATAGCAATGATACTAAGGATTAGTTGACAAAAATTAACAGATTCAAGCTTTGGCAATAGAAAAATTGTCTCTCTTCTGAAGCATCTCTACTTACATTGATGCAAAAAAAATTACCTGAAGTGGCTTCTCTGATTCGTCCTGACCGAGAGGTTTGCAGTCTCGAGAGATGTAAATTGAAACAAAAGCCAGCGTGGCTGTTACTATGGCAACCATCATTGCCTCCACAACCTGCATGAAGGGCTTGTACACATACCTAGATGGGAGAGGGGATTTTTAACATTACAAAATCTGTACATCAGTACTCCATACCTAACAAAGGTACTACTAGGTAAAATTAATTCAGCTGTAGAAAGTGCTATATATCATGTATCATGTATAGCATATTTAACATCAACTATTAGATGAGTGAAAGTAGATTTGGTACTGACTTCATTCTGAAGATGCAGATCTTGTGGTTGACAAAGTTGAAGAGAGCCCCAAACAAACCACCTGTCATAAGAAAAGTTAAGGTATGATATCTAACAGTTATCAACACTTAATAGAACAAAGGTATAAATATATTATGCTAGACAAATATAAACCCTAAATTAGTTTTATATGTCTTCTGTGTTCTTTCTCCAGCACAATTTAACACTTTTAGCATGCAGCATTCAAATCTCTACAATGAAAAAAGTTTCCCTAAACCAACAAGACCATTTTGTTACATAGAGTCTGCATCATTGTATTGGTGATTCACCTCCATGATGATACAACTGAACTACAACCATGACCTTTGTAGAACTTGAGGGAAGAATGTCCAGTACTGGAGCACATACCTGCAACACCCATCAGGAGAAACAGGGGGATCTCGTACCAGAAGTAACTCACTCCCTGTTGGGAAAAGTGGTAACATACAGTAATCCCTCCTACCAAGCATCTTAACTCAAGGTGTAGAGTTCATCTTTGCTACAGGCATCTTGATATAGATTCTACAAATACATGTACTACATGTAGTATTCTAATGCTGTAAAATTCAAAACCTTCAAAAACACAAATGTTCTCGAGAACTTAACCATCAACCAGTTTCTACTACACTTAAACTGTTGGATCCATATACTCAGGCAACATTTTATGGACTTAAGTCACCTGGTTCAAAACATGATTTAAGAATAGAATTGAAACCTTTAGAAAAGGTTGCTAAGCAGTTGACCTACCGTAAACCTGCCAAAGTTGAGCAGTCCAGGATAGGCCAATTCACCCGGTCGACCGAAATATATACTCAGCACGATGTTCAAGGTGAAGAGTGTTGTCACAGAACAGAAGAACTAGTCAGTGTTGGGACAACAATACAGTCTTATTAGGTAGGATCAGACTGATGAAAATGGGGCCAATGTACAGAGTTCCCCTGTCCATGGTACTGAAATGCCCTCCATAAGCACATCACATGTAAAAGCACTTGTATACATTAGACTGGAGGCATTTGACTGAGTAGCTGCAGTCTACATTCTATAATGTCCAACATCATTATGACATCAGGAGATTTCTGACAACTTTTACACATTATCTTATATAGTTGCTTTGTGTTTTGTGTGCCAACTCACAATTCTCCATGTTAAAGCCTGGTTCCAGAAGCTGGCCCCCTCCTCCAAACTGAACAAGACTCCACCTAGAAACATGAATTATCGAATACAGATCAAACAATAAAAATAATTACGAGTATTTGTAACAATAAATAATACTGTAGAAAAATCAAACACCATTGTTCTGACTTTGAACATTTTTCACCTTTGGCAAAAGATGCCATATACACATGTACAGGAGTCACAATTACAAGTGCAGTCTTAAAAATAGAGCAAAAGTGGGCAATTACAGTAGTTAATTTGGTACTAAGCAACATATCAGAGAACTGGTTCTTACCAACTGGAGCACCAAAAGCTGCAGACACTCCTGCTGCTGCCCCACCTGATACAAAGTCTCGCTTCTCTGTGTCTGTTCTAAAGTATCTGAAAATCTAACAACCAAAAGGACTTTCAGTATCCACAATGTGTCAAACCTGAATTAATAGTCCTATGGCAACTTAAACAAGTAGAAAGAAAAAGGGCCGACATGACAATTCAAAGATGCGTTTTCTTTTCAATCCTTGCACATGTATCAACTATGTTACAGTGCTAAATACATGAACATACCAGGCAAGCATGATAAAACATATTTAAGTACACTGACAATTGCTTCAATCGCTGCAGAAAGCTTTCTCTACATGACAGTGATTAATTGAAGTCTACCTTGAAGTCTTTCTTGAACGATGTTGACATCCCCTGGGAGACCCCAGCAGCTATCACTGCTCCAGAGTGGATCATGGGACCTTCCTATTACCATGGAAACAAGCATGGTCAAGTCAATCACATGCAAAAGATATAACAGAAGCTGAACAGCTTTAGAATCACAGGTGGATTCTTATCATCATATTATTTGATACTTTTAACTTCTGATTTATCTCTTTTTCAAAGAATGGCTATGAAATAAATAAGATACTGTTGGAATCAAATTGTATTAAATTTAACCTGAATATATTATATTCAAAGTTACTTCATACACATGGTATCCTTTCAGTACAGTAGTAGCTGACATACCTTTCCAACTGCGAGTCCTCCCGCAACAGAGAAGACAACACCCAGCACTTTACTGATGAGTGTCTACATGTAAAGGCAAAGGATTTTGTAAATTTTACAACCATTCTGTTTAGTAGCACTATTATTTACAATAAGACAGAATACTCAATATTAGATAGCTACAAATAACATACAGGTTTACACTGGCTTCTCTATCACTTGAAGCCCCAAACCACTGATAACATTGACAAGGTATTACATCATGTCGCAAAGTAGAATGAATCATCAGCCCTTGTCAGACAAGTATGAAAGTCTTGTACATGCATGTTCTATGCTTACCTTAATCCTGACTACATGTGGGACCTTGACTCCATTCAGATAGCACTTGATCTGTGGTATCCCACTGCCAGCTGCAACAGGCTGCAAAAAAGTGGAAGGATATTAACCTGGTACACACTGGGTGGAGACAAAAGGAGCCTGACTTTTTGACTAACTGATTCTCCATTATTCCTAATTAATGATGCAGAAATGATTCATTTCATGACCAGACAGATTGTGTGATAGAAATTGCCAAGAAAGCTGCTTACCTCGCCATAAGCCACGAGAATTGCTGCAAAGCAAACAAACAGGGCATCTATGGCGACCCACAATGCAAAGGGGATGGAAAGGCAACCTTTCTCCACACAACTGTCAATCCCTGTGGTGCAGGTTAAGGATAGTTCTTCCCTTATTTCTGTCTATACCCTACTGATATGGACTTGATGTGTTGTTTAATTTTTTATGTTTTGAAGACGAACATATAAGAGACGCAGTACATCAATTGATAAATGAACACCATAAGAATAGATGTATCAATTTGCCCAAAGGATACATGACTTGAGCAGACTATACTTGAGTCCAGCCAGTTGATGCACCATGATGTCAATCAGAACTCCCACCAGTGCTGTCAGGATGCCGATCATCAGCATCACCACCCAGCGGTTGATGTTGATACGTATGAGTTTCTGTGGTTCATATAGAAATACTCTTAGTCAACACTACTGTGCAATACAACACATAAAATATGCCTGCTATGGGAAAAATAGAACATGTACTACATTGTAATTCATTTTACTTGAAATTCTGTAAGCACTAGTTTAAAGCAACAGAGAATTACATGTAGTTCCCTCATGTTTACACTAAATTATCAACTCTTCAACTGAAAGACACATTAAAAGAGTTTGAAAAGTTAAAATACTTTCTCTTTTTTTTGGTAAATACCTCACACTAAACTTGGTTCTTTTCTTGGAAGATGTGTTCCACTGAAACCAAAACAGGACATTCTGCCATAGCCATGGGGCACCCTATACCAACATAATGGTCACATATCACAGGTCGTCATACCTTATTGTTTGCTGCTGCTTCCTTGACAAAGAGGCTGTTTTCAACCAGGTCATAGTCAAGCCCCTAAAGGCAGAAGAATGAACGAATTCAGCATCCAGTAAGTTACCATTTCATGAATGATCCTAAATATTTCTTCCTATTTTTGGGGCAATGAAAATGTAACATTATACAATACAGCCAGTACCATTGCATTTCAGACTGTAGAATCTGATGTCTCCATTACGAAATTGGAGATACGGGATAACTGCCCATACCTCATATTTTGCTGACAGCAGCTTGGCTGTATCCTCTGTAACCTTCTCTTGTGGACTTTCCTGGGGTAATAAACAATTACGAACAATGAAAGAAGATGTGTGATCAATATGCACTTCAACTTATCTATGATTTTAATCTTGTATCAAAACTGTACAAAATAAAAACTGCACAAAATCATCATCTAATGTCTATTGCCACACACTATCATTAAAAGATTCACTGTCCTTTACTCCCAGTACCATACTCAAGACTTCATTTTTGCTCACATCTCATATGTTGGAAGTTAAGTTATGAATACCTCATAATATTCTACAAATTACCTTTTCGGGTGACCCTTCTGGGGAGTAGATGACAGAATCATAATCTGGTTCCTCGGGATCAAACTGGATTGAGTTGTCAATCTGGGGAATAAATAATACAAGATAATCAGCAGATAAAATGATGACAGAAAAGCTAGTTTTAGGTTTGTATGATGGTATGAATTATGTAAGCATGCAAATTACCGGAAGTCGGCACAGATGGGGAAATGGCTGTGAAAAAGTAAAATAACTTTCTACCACTTAGGGCAATAACAACTTGCTGTACATGGGCAGTATATAACAATGAAATTCAAAAAGGGAAAGGGGAATGAAGGTAAGTTGTACAATCTTATTCACACAATTTGACAACAATGAGTATGCAATACTCCATGCGCCATTGACACATATTATAAAACTTAGGAAACATCAACAGCTGAAAATACACGGTGCAACCGACTGGTAAAAGACAAGTCTTTATCTGATCTTACACCAATACTCTCTTGTCTGCATCTTCTGTTGTGTAAAAGAGGCGTTCTTTCGTCGGAAGCCAGGACCGTCCTCCCTCCATCCTGCCTTGCCGCCATGGCTATGGCTAGCTTTGACACGAGGTTAAAGGTTACCAGTCATATGATCACTCAAACAGGTGAGCGATGATGCAATGTTTACCGTATGTCTCTATCTGCATTTATAAACACGACGAAGTGACCGTTCAAGCAGATATCGGGAGTGAGCGTGTTAAAAATTCGATTGTCTGATAATAAACTGATTGGCCTATTTTCATGACATTGCTTGAAAAATCAACAGGACCATGAAAGGACTGCATAATTTGTCAATTTTTCTTCAATTCAATGTTTACAATGTGCAATATCTGTAATTCTAAAGCGACAAAATGACAACATGCTCCTCCAATGAGGGGAAAGTTTTGTTTTGAAGTGTTTGAGGATGATGTGTGCAAGGACATTCTGTATAATGTGTTATTGGCAAGCGTGACACTTCTTATATATGATGACTTTCCATGGAGAGAGAAGACTGATCAGATGGAGGGTCATCGTAAATATGTTTGAATCTAATAACAGTAGAACCATATAGCATCCTAGCAAATTCTAAGGGTTTGATGATTTATTTGCAAATTCAAGTTCACCGTTTAGCCAGCATTATTCTCACCTTGAGTGAGACCATTGAATGAATACTGAGGCACGACGGGAATCAAGCTAGACTTTGACCTAAATGTAAGCCACAAATACAACTACAAGTTCAGCAGCTCCTGATACCAGCTGGTGCCGTGGTGTAGCGGTCAGCACGCACATCCGCATGTTGTACCCGTGTCCGCCTGTTGCCGCCGCCAACACCGCGGCTGGTCCAGGCGGCACGGAGTGCGTCCGTGTGAGGACCCGGTTCGACTCCGGGCGGAACCAGCTCCTTTTATCATATTGTTCCCCACAGCCATTGATCATGCGTACTATCTTTGTAGCTTTTGTAACATTTGTATTGTATTTGATGAATGTTAATAATAAGACAACTATCAACATTAACACGACAAGCTCTTCTGGAATATTTGGGTGGCCCTGAAAAGGGCCGGGGTATACAAAGAACGGATGAATCTAGGCAGATTTGCTGGCGGTCTTCTTGGGCAGGAGCACGGCGTGGATGTTGGGCAGCACACCTCCCTGGGCGATGGTGACGCCGGACAGGAGCTTGTTCAACTCCTCGTCGTTACGGACGGCCAGCTGAAGGTGACGGGGGATGATCCTGGTTTTCTTGTTGTCACGGGCAGCGTTGCCGGCCAACTCGAGGATCTCAGCGGTCAGGTACTCCAGCACGGCGGCCAGGTAGACTGGGGCGCCGGCACCGACACGCTCGGCATAGTTGCCCTTGCGCAGGAAACGGTGCACACGACCGACAGGGAACTGAAGCCCTGCACGGGATGATCGGCTCTTGGCCTTTGCACGGGCTTTGCCTCCTTTTCCACGTCCAGACATTGTCAAGAGTTGCGATTACAATCGTTATGTGAACAAATGCGTTGGGTTTTCGACTGCCTGTATGCATTTATATACCAGTACAGTGGATTCACGTTGTTGACCAATGGGATGTCAAGATTCAAAACAGGCGCTTTCGATCACGTCCGAAAATGCACAAAATTGTTAATTATTGATCGGTCCCTACACTTACTGTGGGCACACCAGCTAACACACATTAACGGTTCACCCCTACGTTGTCTCATACGCGGTTGGTGTAAAATGTGTACGCTGATTGGTCAATAGTGCGATATCGTCTCCGATTGGTGAATCATTCCTATCTAACCTCTGATTGGTGGTTTGTTTACCGCATTCCGCCGAAGTCCGCAATACGGGTACATAATGTAGAATTTTAACACTGAGAAGTTACTTCATTCAGAATCAATCATGTCTGGACGCGGCAAAGGAGGCAAGGGTCTTGGAAAGGGAGGCGCCAAGCGTCACCGGAAGGTGTTGCGTGATAACATCCAGGGCATCACCAAGCCCGCTATCCGTCGTCTGGCCCGCCGTGGTGGTGTCAAGCGTATCTCTGGTCTCATCTACGAGGAGACCCGTGGCGTCCTCAAGGTCTTCCTGGAGAACGTCATCCGTGATGCCGTCACCTACACCGAGCACGCCAAGCGCAAGACCGTCACCGCCATGGACGTTGTCTACGCTCTGAAGCGCCAGGGCCGCACTCTCTACGGCTTCGGCGGCTAGACCATCTGACCTACAAGAACAACCCCGGCCCTTTTCAGGGCCACCCACATAACCCAAAAGAGCTGTCTTGTTCACTCCGATGCCTTATACTAGTTATAGACGTCTATATAATATAATATAGAAAGTACAGATATAAACACTATACCATTACAAATGATGAAAATTATAATTATACTAAATCATCTTAATTTCCTGTCGTATCATGCCTCAGCGCATCTGACCCATTATAAAATCATCTGGGTACATGAGAATCCTACACATAAACCTTTAGCTCCCCATATGCATTCACCAGATTTGACATCGTTGGATCCGCTAAGATAAGAGAAACCCCAAACAGGCTTCGCTCAAGAAGCTTTTGAGTTGTGACCAGAGTCTGGTCTAGATGAACGAATCGGACAGGTAGTCTCGTGTCCCTTTCGTTCATCCGCGCCGACGTCCGAACCACTGGACCAACATAAGTTCCATTTTGTCATACTATCATACAAAAAATACAAGCATGCTCTTTTTATCCATGACCTAGCCTGGGTGCCATCCCCTACCGCGAGTCAGCGATAATTCCTCGGCCCGGGAAAGCCACACGCCCCGCCGACCCTGATTTGCACACTGGCTCTAATTATCTCCTAGCGTGAAAGATATTGGGTTTGGGGCAGCCTGGGGTTGGGCGGCGGATACAGTAGCGGACACAAAAAAAATCTATCGCTTTATGAACGCTAGCGTCTGGCACCCAGGCTATCCATGACCATTGACAGGGAAATTAAACTCCCCATTGACTTACTCACTTGGCCTTTGTTACCGAATTGTACCATCCGTACCCCCGTAGAAACGCCTGGTGTAGGTAATCTCCAGGCAGATGTTTAGGTGGCGCAAAAGACGGTATCAAATTGGCCAGTTAGTGTCCATTGGCCAGACTGTAACCATACTTCCTGGCCAATTTGATACTGTCTTTCACCACCTAAACATCTGCTTGGAGATTAGATGTAGGCTACGCTGGTCTAACTGCCGTACTATTGCAAATTAAAAGGGGGCGCTTTTGATAGATGGAGTTTTCACCATCATGGCGATCAGAAGGGCAAAGCAAAGTTGGGAACTCGTCGATGGATTTTAGGTTAGCTTTTGCATGTTTCATAGCTCTTCATAAATGCCTTGGTGGGTAGTGTGGTGCATATAGATTTGATAAGTAGAAGTAAAAGGGAGAAATGTTTCAACGTTATTTGTGTAAGGAGGTTCAAAGTTATGAATTATGCTGCCGCCCCCCGCCTCCGACAGCTGATCTCATGACACCATAAAATTATTTTACTGGCAAGTTCTCGAAGTTCAGAACGTTTTGAAGGTTGAACCGTATATAACAGAACGTGCTCAGGTTGCACATGAAGATGATACATTATTTATTTAAATTTTAACATTCTTCCTACCAGACGATGTCTAGAAAAGGTTCGCCCCCCTCCCCACAACGCGTCTGTCCATAGAGCAGTGTAGAGTGAGGCAAGATGGCGAAGCAGGGTGGGAAGGAGTCGACTACTCTGAAGGACAAGGTGAAGCAGCTGTTCCGCCCCAAACCCAGCCGGGTGGTGACCAGCGGGATCCACGGGAAGGACACGAGAGAGGAGATCACCTGCACACCTGAACTACTCAAGGTGAGGGAGAACCGCCAGGGAAAGATGCCACCTTGTTTACTTGATGCTTATCTTTTGTTCCTTGTTATAACAGTTACATTTAGCTTCATAGTGCGCCCAGCATAGCAGGAAATGCTTAGGTTTCAGGTTGATCTCTGTTTTGTTGCTCTACAGGAGATTGGTCCTGAGAGTCCCCTAACCAACCGTCTCAAGGCACTGCGGGAGTTTGGAGATGTTGTGGCCAGCAGACTGCTGGAAGATGTGGGTATTAAGTTTATCAACATTGCATCAGAATGGGTGCAAAAGTACCTAGACAAATCAGATCAGATAACCCAAGGCTGCTATTTCTGGTAGGTTGTAGTTGTTTGACTGATCTTGTATCATTCAGCTTTCTTCCAAAAGTTCGCTGTGCGACGTGAATATAGTATAACCAAGGAGGTTAAATACCTTGGTATAACCGTTTGGCATATTTTTAATCATAACCTCTGAACCATCTCAGAATGCTGTGGAGGCCTTGTGGCTGAACATCTCGGACCTGTTGGATCCGCAGGCCTCGGCCGAGGCCAGACACGTCGCCCTGCGATTTGTGCAGTCACTCATCCTGGGGCAGGTGAGTAGGGGAAAACATTTCTAGTAGCTGTACGTTCCTTTTTCTGTTCTGTTCTGGATCAAGGATTATTTAGCTGAGGGTTTTTTCATTTATTGACAACTGATGAGAAGCACTGCTCCTAGATATCACTTTACTTAATGTGTGTTGCGATCACATGTGTTTGAGTGCATGAACGTGCTGCTTGCTTCTGTCCCCAGTATGACAGACTGGGCATCATGAGAGCCCACTTCTTCCGTGTGGTCAGACATCATCAGGTGTTTGAGGACATCCCAGAAAGGTCAGTTCTATCTGTCTCTCAACAATACACCTACCAAATTGGTCCTTTATATCTTCTGTTAGGTAGTTTTGAGCCAACATGAAGTTTTGTATGAATCCATGTGTAATAACGACCTCCTCTACTCCAGGCTGGAGGTGTTTAAGGCCCTGAGTGACAACGGGAAGGACATAACAAACTTTGAGGAGGAGACTGGTAAGTTGGTTGTTAAGTTGGACTACACTTTTCTCTTAGTTGTGTTAGACTTTTCCTCACACTAATGTCTGTCTGTCCTGTTGTCCAGGTCCCTTCCTGCTGGAGTGGATGCCTGATGCTGTCAGCTATGGAAGGTCAGTTACTCATTATTTGTTTCACACTTGTTTCACTCATAGTCATAGCTTTAACAGATAGGTAGACATTTCAATGTTTTGTTTAGGAGAAACACTATGATCAGCATGTACAACTATATCAATGGGAGAAATGAGGAACCTCTAAAAAGTCACATTGGATAGAGTGGGTCACTTGTACAGGTTTGGCTGTATTACTATAAATGTTCAATTCAACAATTAAAGCCATGTAAAGATGCATCATATCTGCTTTACTTTTAGTACACACCTTCAACCTGCAGTAGCATACACCTCTGACTATTTCCCATGATGCCTCTTGTTATTTAGAACATTTGAGTTCATGACCTTGATGGTCAATGTCATCAAGTTCAACTCCAGTTTCCTGGATGAGGAGATTGTAGCCGGCCTTGTGCAGTGAGTCATAATCCTTCTGGATTCTCCTGCCTAATTGTTTAATTTGTTCTCCTTGTATTATAGCACTTTGATTTGCGTAGATGAACCTAGTACAAGTAGCATCAATTTGGCACCATTTGCAAGAAATTTACAAATCAAAGAAACAAGAGAATCTATGAACTAGGTCAAAATGATGGTATGTTGATGCTCTTTGTTTTGTTACATGTTGTATGAATGTGGGTACTGGACTACTGGGTATACTTACCATGTTTTGTGTGTTACAGCCACACCTGTAATGTGTGTAACCAGGCCAACTCTGAAGAGGAAATTGAGGTAAACAGAAAAAAAATGACCCAAAATCTTTATACGATCACTCCTAAATTAGTTCTTCGCTTGTGAATTTGTTAATGTGTAGTGGCAAGAATATGTAGTAAGAATATTTTGTTTTGACTCTTTCATAAATGTAAGGGAGGATTTTTTAAAATAAAATTGATGGAAGGATGTTTTTTATCAGTATTGCTGCAGGCATCTGTGGTGTATCTTCCCTTACAGCATTTGCCTATTATGTGAATGTCCCTGTCTTTCCCAGGCATCCCTGCGTGTGTTGGATGCTGTGGTGTGTTATAGCTGTCTGCCATCAGAGTCTCTGTACCAGTTCATCACCACACTCTGTCGAACTATCAATGTGGACAAGTTCTGCCAGACCAGCTGGAAGGTGAGAGCACAAACGGTCATTTTTGAAAAACTCTTCTGTATCCAATATTCAATTCTTTTTTCCAAGACGAAAGTTATGAGAATCAATGTATTATTGATTGATTTTGTTCCCAAACAAACTTGCCAACCAACAAGGGTGGTTGAAATGGAGATACGAATCCATTAGATTATTCCATAAAAAATTCTTATTTCTCTAATTCTCAAATTTCTCCTTCAGGGCTTGAATTGCCACCTGCATATGCAGGTTAGTGCAGGTTGAATTGAATTGTGCAGGTATTTCTGATGTCTGCCTGCACCTAACCTGCACCTCTCCATGTGTACATGTATGTGCTGGGCAAAAATACATTATATTGAGTTCTTGTGGATTTTTGTTTGCCTTACAGACAATAACCAACTGTAAAATGCAAAGGATTTAAACTTCCTAAAATCTTTTACTGGCTGTTGACATTTCAACCCAAAATTTTCATTGCCAATGGTGTAAAAATTAGCCACCACATGATACAAGATTTGTGGTGTTATTTTGTCTGTATAATGTGGTATGAGTCTGTATTTTTTGAAGATAATTAAACACCAGAAATTTTATGGTACAGCAAGTCTGAAATCTGTAAGTCATGCATGGCCAGTATGAACCCAAACCTGAGCTACACAGTTCACATTTCTGTATCTGCATCTGTATAGCCAGTATAACCACCCTTCAGTGTAACACCTCAGCTTCGCAGACATGCAGCGCGACAGCAGCTAGCTATATTACACCAAACAGCCTGTTACACAGTTGTAAGTTGTAACCTGTCGTGCATGTATAAGATCATAAATCACACCATGGCCACCTTGGAGTATTGTTTTTTTATGAAAATGAGTGGTGCAGGTAAAATTTTGGTGGTACAGGTAGTTTCGAATTGCAGGCATGCAGAAAAGAGCATTTCAAGCCCTGTTAGCCTTGAAATGATTCGGGCATTTTGACTTTGAATAAGTTTGTTTTTTGCCCATGCAGCTGATGAGGAACCTTCTGGGAACCCACTTGGGCCACAGCAGTATCTACACCATGTGTACCATCCTACAGGACAGGTAACATACACAAATGAACCTGATTTACAAGAATTGTGAAAGGAGAATATATGAAGTTAAAACAAGGGTGGAAATAGTTCCAGAAATCTCCTTGGTGCTGATTGGCCATCAGTTAGATTAGCTTGTGCTAATTCCCTACTTTCAGTCGTATCATTGTTTAAACTGAGTGTCCCTTTCTGTGAGCACATTAGAAGGTTGTGGCTTGGACTGTAGAAATATCAACATTCTGGAATTCGAGAATTCAGTTTCCAGTTGGATGTAATGTTGACTGATGTGTGTTTGTGTAGCCATAACCGGTCTGACCACCAGCTGCTGAGAGGAGCTGTGTTCTATGTGGGGATGAGTCTGTGGGGGGCGGGGAGAGTCAACTCCCTCCGACTCACCCCCACATCTGTCCTGCCATCATTCCTCCAGGTGGGCATTGCACTCTTTCCACAGTTGTTTTCTTCCACAAAAATATTAACTCCCAAGAATAGTCCAAAGCTTCCCCACATTGTATTCATCTGAACATCACTTGTCACTTTTCAGGAATTGAAAATTTCAATCCACCACCATGGCATGGTTTAGTTGACAAGTACCATGTAAGAATGACTTGGTTGTGTGTAAGAAAACTTCAATTCCTGTGATCTACCACCCTATTCACAAAATCTCAAAATCATAAAGCTTGTGAGACAGACCACAGACTGTGTCCTCTCCCCAGGCGCTGTCGTCCAACAACCCAATCGTGGCGTACGAGGTGGTGCTGATCATCCACCGCCTGATTAAGAAGTATGGGAAGGACCTGCAGCAGGTCACCTGGGAGATCCTGACAGACATCCTGGAGGCTCTGCTCAAGTACATCCAGGTCAGGGGTCAATGTGTCAAGTACTTAGAGGCTAGGGTTCAAAGTTTGTTTTGTGTATGTTTCTGCGTATGCACATTTGTGTGTGTGTAGGTGTATGTGGATATGTGTTTGTAATGTATGTGCATGCTTGAGTGTTTGTTCCAAACATTACCACAGTTAGTCACTGAGAGTGCATGTTTTGTTTCCCCGTACCAGACATCCCCCGGAGCGAGTGAGTCCCTCCTGCTGAACTTCCACGCCGTCCTGAGTACGGTGGAGTTTCTACATGAGAACAAGTGCTTCAACGGGTCGTCAGAGAGGCTCTTTGGAATCATTGAGAAATTTGCCAGCAAAAGACCTGTAAGTGTTGTCATATTAAATTTGAGCAACTGTTGTATATAAAAGAGATAACAAGTCAACTGAACTCAGTTGACAGCTGAAATTTTCTGGTGTTCACAGACAATTCAAACTCTACTACTCGTAACTGGATAGGTTATGGAGATTACAATGTACTTCCAGATGTGGTCGCCCTTCTTTAGTGTCACTAATGAACAGTAACAGAACTAGTCAACACTTAAATGTTGTTATAATCCTAATTCAGTGCTAAGTTCTGACTTCTCTCCTCCCGGTTGTCCAGGAGAGTTCAGTCCTCCTGCTGGTGTCGTACCGTGCCCAGTCCATCCACCCTGCCAAGGACAGCTGGATCCTCAACCTGCAGAACCTCATGGACAAGTACTTCAGGTAATACACAGACTACCTCAACTTGCTATGTTGTTCTGTGCTATGACATAGGACAAAAGTTTTTCATAGAAGTATGGAAGGAGGACTAGGAAGTATTGGTATCTCTATCTGAAGAGCAATGGAACTGTCGTGTTAAAGAAAAAGACTGAAGGGTCTGACTGGTTCATGTAGGAAGAAATGGTATACACCTGACTTTGGCCAGCCAATTTACCAGGAAAACACATCCTTTTCCCTGCGTGAAGCACCACCTTTTGAATTATGCAAGAACTGCAGCAACTGCTTCAATGCCTGTTGTCAAGCAACCTTTCTAACATATCAATTATGTTTTGTTTGTAGGTATGAGCTGCGCACCCCCATCAGAATCAAGGTGTTGGATGTTCTGTCTGCTGTTCTCAGTTCCACCAGACACCTGTATGAGGTTAGTGGGACCATCCTTGTACATTTGTAGTATCCAAGAGCATGAAAATGATCTTAGGTGTATACATGTGTATTATGTAATATTCAATTTTGCAGAGATCTTTGATGAGATTTTTAGACTGAAAATCTAGATAAGTTTAAATTTTGACTTACTGATATCCTGTTCACAAAGTAACAACCATCCAGCCAACACAAAAATCAACTACATGTACTACTGACAAACTTCTAGCAACTTGTCCATCCATGTAAGACTTTCTATACCTGTATTTCTTCAGGAGAACCTGATAGAGGGTGTGGTGATCCCCCAGCTGGGTCAGATTGCGGACGACCCTGACGTGGAAGTGCGGAACGTTGCAGTGCAGCTGCTGATGGACCTGGCACAGACATGTAACACAGAGAGATGCCTGGACATCCTGGCTATCATAGAGAAGGTGCAGCACTGGAGTAGTTATGTTTGTAAAACCCACATCTGTACTCACTCACTCACTCACTATCTGGTTTATCACTCTGTTGTTCTTTGTCTTGCAGGGATTAGACATTTTTGCACTAAAGATATACATTGTAGAGATTGTTGAGTGACAAAGAAAATACTCAAAGTTTGAACAATATTATATGGATTGATTGTAATCTCAAGAATATCTATGTTGCCTACAAATTTTTGCACCACTTCATACATGTATAAGCTAATAGTTACATTTGGGGAGAAACAAACTTTCAAGGTCAAAGGTACATTTTGTAGCATTTATATGTAGTTTTCATTGTAACAAGACTTTTATGTTCATGTAAGGATACTGACTCGGCTACATGTAAAGGTTGGTTAAGAATGACAGACTCAGTATCTGCTGTGCACCTCAGGTGATTTCCCGTCCAATGGACACCAAGAAACCCCTGCCCACCACACCTGATGGAACAGCTGAAGCCAAACCAGCAGCTGTGGACGACTCGCAGCTGGCTGACATCCAGACAGCTGTGCGTGGGCTCATCGAGCTGTTCCAGGTGGGTCACCAGGAGACTGGGTTTATCAGCTGCAGTCATCTACTCACAGGAGTCATGTCTGGAACTACATCCTTGGTTTCCTTCTGGTGTTAATTAAACCCATCCTGGGACAGGTTTTCATTCCTAACTAGTTACTTTTAGAATCTGTGTAATCTGGAAATGTTTCTCCAGATTATATAGTAATGCCTTAATTTCTCGAGGCTTGTCTATGTTTCCCTTTGCATTAACTTTCAAGCCATGTAAATTTTCTGTCTCAATCCCCAGAGAATGGCCTTGTGCAATGGACAGGCTGGTTTTGGTCAGCATAGTGTAATATGTTGTCAGCAGTTTGGCCATACTCAGATCACTGGTCACAGCCATTCATTTCAAGTCTTTCTGAGTCCAAAGTGCAGTCACTTCTGTACCACGAACTTATCATTACTGTTAACAAATAATTCACAGACCTTTCCTCCACACCTGCTGCTACTGTGAACATGTACATTCGTGGACACCTCCATTCTTCTCAGACCCTGAATTTTTGCTACCGTGGCGTGAACATTAAGTGAATTACAGTAATCTGTTTTCCCTGTCCCACAGACCAAGCTGTACAAGCTGCCGTCCACCCATGCCTGCCAGGTGTACGACATGCTGATTGGCCACGTCCTGTCTCACTACCAGCACCACTACAAGGCTCACACCGCCTGTCAGATCAGGCTGGAGGTGGGAACACTCAGGGGCAGACATCAGTCAGGATAGCAGGAATCTGAGATGCTGATAGAGAACTTCTTGTATGTTAGTTATAGAGGGGGGGAGCAGAATTAAAGTCTCAATTATTGTACTACATTGTATCATAAAAGTTCATCTGTGTTGGTAGTTTCATGTTTAAAGGTAAAACTTTTGTTCCAACACAAAAGGGAAATGCTTTCACATAGAGCATTTGACCAGTTACTCTGGCCTTCCTCGGTAGAGTGACCCAGTGAGACTTGTCACGACTGGCCTCTCCGAAGTGTGACATCAATGTTAAGTTCTCTCTCTTGGTCATTCACAAGGCACATTTATGATTAATTATTGTATCTATATCTTAATATGTTTATTGTTTCACAATATCTTAAGAGCCAAGGTACAAATGTATAAGTATATTAAACTTTACAAAACAACAATCATTTTCTGACATGCTTGTAGCACAAAGTATGGGTTGATTTGTCTACTTTGGTCTCCTTGCAGGTGTTCACCTGCCTTCTGCACCTGCGAGCCGACACGCTCCACAGACTGGGTCTGCCGGACAAGGACGGCAACTACAAGTTCACAGCTTACATCACCTGCGACATGAAGTACCTGTCCCATCCCACTGTCTCAGTCATGTTTACATTTTAGTAACACCCAGATGGGCCACTTTTATTTGTAGTTCTGTAAACCTTATACATGTATGTTTAAGTGATTGTCACAACCAAACTCACAAATGCCTCTATAGTTGTGAAGGCAGAGACTGTCTAAGGACAAGAGCTTGCCATGCCTTGGAGGTGTGTCCAAAGAATTAAGCTTGAATTTGCAAAGATTTGGATCTGAGAGATGGTGACTCTAAAGACTGTATGATATTTAGGCAGTATTACAATTCAGTGAGAAAACTGAAATTTGTAGTTTCCCACAAGTACGTTTTACATCATAGTGTCCATTTTGTAACATTTCTACCTCCCCCCAGGGACCCCGGCAGTGGTAGAAGCTCCCGTGCCACCTCCCCTCCCACTTCCCTCAAGGCCAAGTCCCCCACCCCAGGGTCTGCTCTCAAGATGGCCAGCCTGCCTTTCTGCAAGGCTCTCTCCTCCATCCTTACCTGCCTCGGGAACGTAAGTACCAGGATGAGACATGTGCCTGCAATGCTACAATGTACATTGTTTTTGTATAACTTTCTTTCTGATATCTTGATTCAAAAGCTCTTTCAATTGGCAATTTAGGAATCCTCCTTCAACAAAAGGACGGGCACATGTATATTAGGAAGAACTGATCACATGTACTTTCTGTTAGCACCTTGTCTTGATTACCATTGTATAACTTTGATACGATGTTGATTAAAGTGCTTAAAGGTTAAGATAAGATTGGATTTGAAGATGAAGCATCTACAGTGTGTTCTCTCTGTCATTGGCAGGAGACAGAGTGGGAAGTGCTGAAGCTGGTTCTACAGAAGCTGACAGAAGCTCTACAGAACAAAGCCCTGATCCTGTCTGGACATGTCTCCAATGTGGAGGAACTGTGTTCCAAACTCTGTACCATGGTAGGTCTGCAGAACACATCGGATTCCATATGCTGTAACAGTTACAGTTTGATTCTGTCTTGAATAGTTATTGCATTATGCCTTGTGAATTTGAGAACAGAACTTTTCTGCTTCACTGTTCAAAGCATCTTCTGTCTATTTCTAACATGTCATAATTATTCTTCACTAGATATACAATCATGTTGAAACTGTCATTACAATGTAGTTAGTCATCCTTCTATTTCTGTACTACTTTAGTACTAATACTTTACATGTCTCTCTCAGATCACACTGCTTTCCAGGCAATGTCTGCAGGTCTGTCCTCAACTTGTCTGTTCTAACATGATATATCTTACTCCTTATAGTATGGTTGAAGACTTAATCATTATTGTGAATGTACATGTAACGTTACCCATTGTTAAATAACAAATGTGGATTGAATAACCAAACTTTCATTGCTCATAAACGGTGCACACCCCAGTTCTTCCGCGACCGGGGTCCGTGATAGTCCGTTGTAAAAAAGTGACGAAAGGGTTTTGAGGGTCCAAGTTTGAGGTGACATTTCTTATAAACTGCCACGAAGTATCATTAAACATTAACATGGCTGAAGAGTGTAAGAAATGGTGATTTTGGGGTGAAAATTTCTTTTGGCTCCGAACCTTACTTCCGGGTATCCTTGCGCGCCAAGTGTAATCCGCCCGTTTGACCTAGTTTTCGCTCTGTGGCTTCGTAGGGGTGGATTTGCAACCCCTCGCGCCGTGGACTGTTTAGAAAATTACAGTACTAGAATTTTCTTTATAATTTACTCGGGTATAGTCAAGGCTTGGGTCTTTCTGCCAGCATCAGTCATTTCTGCCGGAAAATTTTTTTTTGTGGGATTATCCTACGCGAAAATTCGCAATTTTGGGCATTAATTTTGGAGTGAAAATAATGTTGTTTCCGTTGATTTTACCAAACTTAAAAAGGTTGAAGAAACCAAACTCAGCTTGTCTTGTAGCTGAAGAGATACCCTTTCGTCCCATATACAGTTATTCTCCTTCCGAATTATTCCACGCCAGAGACGGTCGCTAGATTTGAGGGTGTGCAGCTTCGAAAAGAGGCCCCAAATAAACTGGGGTGTGCCCCCTAAATGATGGCATATTTTACCTATCAGCTGTTTTTGAAATTTTATCATATCATTATGTTGTGATCAGACTGTATACCTTTTCACACCACCATCTGTGACCCTTGCTAGTCTGTCCAGTCCACCCCCAACTTTATGACTTTCTGTACTCATCAGGTTGGCCAGAGATCCATCCTGGAGAAGCTACAGCACACGCCTAAAGACTTCCCCCGCTCAGAGTTCCAGTCTCACATGTACCCCGTCCTGACGGCCCTGGCCACCTACCACGCACACCTGGACCAGACTAGGCAGGTGAGTCAAAGTGTACCTAATTGTTCTATTCGTCATAACTGTATTTGTCAGAGTTACCACCCCTTACAAGGTGATATACATGTACCCTTTCATTACATTTTTGTAGCTGATACAAGGTGGGGTGCACCAGGCCTAGATCTGTCCGGGTGATGATTTAAATCACAGTGTGGCTGATATGAGACAGGGGTTTGCCTGTCTGGGTGATTTGAAGTGAATCACCAACTACATACAGTAGGATTTGGGCCATCACCCACTGGGGCATGACCCTACTCTTTTTCGAAAGTTATGGTGGGTTCTTTATTGTGCGTGGGATGTCACCAAAAAGTTACAATGTTAACAATGATAGAGAACAACATCTCTCATAAGTCATATCTGTCATAAGTCATGTTGTGATATGTTTCTGTGACTTCTAATTGAGAACACTTGTTTAGTGATACAGGATTGTTGATGTTTAAATGGACGACTACCTGACTCGTATGCTCACACGCTAAGCTCACATGTTCCTGTTTAACTGAGAGGAAATGGTTTAAGTGGATAAAAGTCTTACAAACACCAGGTTACCAGATACACTGCATGCTGCCAGCAGGGCTTGAAATACATGAACCACCTGCATAAATTACGCAGGTTACATGTAGTGCAGGTAAAATTGGAGCTGTACATGTATGTCTACCTGCACCTAACCTGCAGTGGGCCATGAACTAGGTTTACATACAAATGTAGGTGTATGTGGATTTCATTTGCTGTATTGACTGTCACCACCTAATAGTATGTAAAAGGCATAATGCCTGAATTCTGAGTGGCGCAGGTAAAATTTGACTTGTGCTTGTAGTTTTCAATGCAGCTACACCAGTGCAGGTGTACATAAAAAAAGGATTTGGAGCCCTGTGCAGGGATACTGATTCCCCAGGAACAGGTCTGCCCTGCTGCAGACAGCACGCACCATGCAGACCTGGGAGTGAACCCTGCCCTCCTGGCTGATGGAACTCCTCTGGGAACACGATCCTAGGGACAAGGACACACCTCGTGTTTCTCCCACAGCCTTGACCCTGGGGGTCAGGACAAGCCTTTTCTATAAATATACCCCTCAACTAGTCTGAAAAACATACATCTTAATCCTCACTACTGTGTGAGTTTCCTTCAGTAGTTGAACTTTTACATATACAGGTCTTGTGGCTGTACATGACATTGTGCCCTGAGACTAGCAATGTACTTCTAGGAATGTCCCAGGAATGTACAACTGTGGTAATATATGAAGAGTGAAGACCCAGTGCCAAATCAATCCTCCTCTATCTGTGGTTTCTGTCCAGAGCTGTGTTGTTTCTGTGTAGGACAGAGAAAAATTAATGACCAGATTTTAACTGGAGGTGGCAAATGCATTCATCTGGTCGTAACTGTCACATTGTTGTCCTTTTCAACTCAAGGACAAGGCAAGTGATTGTTGTAGGATTATTGTGACAGTGGTGTTGAACTCCAACTGAAATGTCAGGAGAGAAACTGTTTATCCTCCACCTCCGCTTCGCAGCTGGAACTTCCGCAGCCTCCCACTCCTTCCTGAACACCTGCTGATTCAGACCACAGAACAGTCCTACTCCTGACAAGATTATGTCAGTCAAGCAGTTACTTAGGGAGTGAAGTGTTGCAGGGTTTCACATCTGTATCCAATGCATGTGTGTGGCCTAATGCAAAAGAAAGAAATTCCTAACTTGTAACAGTTCTCAAGACCACAGTAACATTCTTCCACTGTGGGTTGCAGGATTCTAAATGAGCAGCTTGACGTATCACAACATCCTTATAAAGCCATGTAGATCCTTGTGCTCAAAGAGGCAACTTTATAGAGCTTTCTGTAGACTTATGATTGAGTCCCAGGGGAAAGAACTTCCCAGTAGAGCCAACATTAAACTTCAGGATCACTCTCATCTTACATACAATAGTAAAGCTTGTGCATTATTTTGTATCTACATTTTTGTACATGTACATGTGTAGGTCTGCAGTAAGAGATCTGGACTGTGTCAAAATATCAGTATTTCCAAACCTGGTATTGAATCAGATGCCAACTGACACAGTGTTAAAGAATTCTGCCCTGCCCTGTAGCATACATGTACCTTGCCTTTTCTGTTTTGCCCATTTCCTTGTTGATTGTCGCCAGTCATCTGTAAGAGTAGACAGGTCAAGATACACATACTTCACTATCAGACACTTAAACTTGACCCTCCTCCTGCTGATGTACATGTACATGTGTGCTGTAACCTTGGTGAACGACCTTGCCCACAACAGGGAGGTTAATCTACGTCTGACACAGAGGGGTCAGAAACGTGGAAAATCTGCAAATAGGGGCTGAAAAACAAGTTGACCATGTGCTATAACGATCATTGTCAGAGGAAATTCTTTGAATATGAATCTAAGATGAATGGCTGGGATCAAAGCCAGCACTTAGTGAGTGTAGTTTCTGAAGGACGAGGTTCTACTGTGCAGCTAGAACTAAAAACCTTTACCTGACTATTGACTTCATCAAGCAGGTCCAGATATCAGTTACGTGCTCCCATTATAGACAATTGTAGCTGGAGAATAAATACTAGTAGAAAAAATGTTTTCTTTGAAAGAAAAAATTGTCTTTATATAAGGCATAATTTGATATTAGAACATTGCAAAATCAAGTACATATCAACACCAACCTTTATCATTCTCTTTGGCTTACTTGAGGATTACATCTGGTGACTCTTCATCCAAGTACACAGGTGCACTGCCCCTTACCAGCCTACGTATTTTAATACAAAGGGTGTTAAAACACCCTTTGTATATAACTACACATGCATTAAGAAAAATAAACACCTAAAACGTCAAGAGAAATGCTTTTCTAAGGGTCATATGACTGATTCAAATCATATTCTCTTTATAAGGTGCAGTAAGGTGTCTGGGCATTTTTGTACACATTTTTTTCAACAAAATCTGTTGCCTCTTTTGTTTTCAAAAATCATCTTCAAAGGCTGATTTTTAAAATTTTTTTTTGCTCTCCTGTCAGATCTAATGTGTCACAGAGAGTGTCATCCATCAAATGTACATTGTATGTGGCCTAGCTTGAGGAAAATCAACATTTTTATTGACTTCATCTTCAATTTCCAACAAAGATAGAGCTCACAGCCATTGAACAGTCCCTGTACTAGATCCTCTCTAGTTCTATAAAACAGATGTCTGGACTGCTGCCAGTAAAACTGACCAGCTAGCAGCTCTGGTTGACCTTCACCACAAGTGAACATGCAGTCATTAGTACTTGTCAACATCTCCTTTGTCTGTCACTGTCTGACACTTTCAAGGGCACATTAACCACCTCACCAGTGTAAATATGATCTCACTCTGGAGGATGTACCAATTAGCATCGCTTATAGCATGTCTCAGTAGGGTTTGAAACCAGAAAATGTTCTTCTGGAGTGAGTTTTGCTGTTGCTGCCAGCATGCTTGATGATAAACCATGAAAGTCCTGTCTGAGTTCTAGCATTAGTAGTCACTGCTTTCTTGGAAATGGCATGTTTGTGTAGCTTGAAAAAATAATTTTGCCTCATGAGGCTACCCAAATGATTGTCAAAGAATTAGGATACATTTTGTAGATGGGAACTGATTCTTCAAAGATAACAACCTTGTACATGACAAAGATAAAAGTATTTGGAGGTTTCAGGCAACAGGAGTCATACCATCTTTACCCATTGCAATAAAAATGTTGCTTTAAAATATGCCCTCCTCTTTAAAATATGCCCTCCTCTTTCAGATTCAGCACTTAGAACCTCCTTCCATATCTATACAAAAATGGCACCCTTTGACTACAGTAGATACAGTAATAGTGTACATAATACCTTTGACTATAGTACATAATAACAGATTTATTTCTGGGGCATCATTGGTCGGAGAAGAGCAGGTAGCCTGAGAAGGTTGTGTACCTGCCAGTTTTACTGGGGTTGTAGATGGCCCGATGTCTCCTCAGTCTCAGCCATATCTCATGTCCCCTCAGCACATGGAGAATCGCCGTGTTACTGGCCATGTCGTAAGCCGGTCCATAGAAGGCCGCACCGACCTGGCTTTCATGGTTTTTCATCAAGTCCACGAAAGTTGTTGCAGCCTTGTTGGTACTCATCAGGTGGAAGTGGAAGAGGTAGTGGCCGTCAACTGGTGCCCTGAACACGCCCGTCCTGTTGTTGTAGAAGCCACCTGAGTTACTGAGGATGAGGTCAAAGGGAACAGGTTCATCAGTGATGAAGGGTCCGTAGCTCTCTGTCCTTACGGCAGAAAATGCTACCTTCAGGCGAGATCTGATCAGAGTTTGATCCCCTGACAGGTAGGCGGCTGCCTCCGAAGCGCTGCCTGGCTTCCCAGCATCCCCAGGCTTGCCCGGCACACCCGGCACTCCTCTCCGCCCCGGTCTCCCCCGGATCCCAGGACGTCCCTGTCTGCCGTCCACTCCAGGATCTCCCTTCTCCCCTTTGTAGCCTCGGTATCCCTGATTGCCTTTCGGCCCCATTGGTCCAGGATAGCCGTTGACTCCATTGTAGCCTGGTTTCCCGGGGATACCGGGCGGTCCTGCCTTGCCGTCCCTGCCGGGCGGACCTGGGCTGTCCTTGAGGTTACAGACACAGGGCTCACACACGCCGGCTGTAGAGTCTGGAGGCTGTCCTGAAGAATAGATGGCGGCGGCTCCTTTCCTCTCCGCAGGCACTGAAAGCATTTCCTGTTCAGCATCTATGAAGAAAAGCCCTTTCGCACTCTCCGGTTTTTCACTTGCATAGATGTCTTGACATTGGGTATCCTGAATGGCAAACAGAATCACTACCAGCAATATAGAGTACATTGTGGAAACCTTACAGTGTTTGCTAGACATCATGGCAAACATCTGCTGAAAAACTTTTCAAAAAAGGTTCTGTCACTGTTTCTCTTCCTTGGAAGACTGCCCACTTTCTCCGCACCTGTGCTGCTTTCTGTACCTACTAAGCCTGCAGCTATTCATAGAAACACAGCAGGTCTCAGCGTCTGTCCACTTCAATTGATTCCTGTAGTCATGCGTGCGTGGAACCATACACAGTAGGCCCAAGAAATCCTGGCTTAGCTCCTCATTCAAGTCCGGAGATTCGACCAGGCGTGGTATTACAGCACTCTCCAACAACTTGCCCACAGGATTACAGTCACCTTGAAAGGGCAGCTGGATAGCAGCTACTGTTTATCTGCTTATGCTTGGTTTAAAGTTCATGGGACGACCTTTTCTGTACCCGACTGTCAGGATGTCTGCTCCCCTCAGCATGCCTTTGAACCTACAGCACAAGAGACATGTTGAGTATAAGTGCAAGTCCACACAACATAGTAGCAGCAGAAGTCCCTCTCAACCAAACACTGGACAGAAGACATCAAGTTGAAAGTCATTTTTCAGATTTTAACTTGAACTTCAAGGGCATTATAGTAGAATGGACTACATGTGTGTTTCAAGTTGTTACTGGACGTTCATGAAAGCCTCATCCCAACTGTCATCTGAAAGTACTATTACATCTCTCAATCAGTATGTTATACTTCCTAAATTAAAGTAAAAGTTTACATCTAGGGTGTATTGTGGATTAACGTGAGAGACCACTGACATTACTGGTTTTGGAAAAAAAAGACAGTGCCATGCATTTTCAGCTTATCTTTTACATCAGACATAGGAATTTTGATTCACTCTCAAGTGGGATTCAACCCCAGACCCTACTGATGAAAGGTAAAACTACCACCACTCTGCCTACTCCTCCCACAACAACTCCATAAGGTATCCATGGTGCATTCCAAGGATATATGTTAGCCGTGACTCCAGACTTGTGTTTCATATTATGGCCATTGTAAGATCCAAGTGTAGATACTAACAGTCTTTAAATTAGACATGCCAAGTATTAGTGTTAAAAATTTACTCCACCTGTTTGGTAAAATATGAAGTGTATATGACAAACAAAAGGGATGTAACCAAATACTTTATTTTAGTGATCAATTGTACCAATGACATTATATAGAGAGATATAAGTATGGTAATGTCCTTGATTGTACAATTTGGATTTGTGCAGTTACATATATTGAAACCTCTTCGTCACACTTCACCAATCTAATTATAAAAGTAACTATGTAGTCCCACTTTGTGAATAGTCACACTGGTCAGACAAATGGCTACTGTGTAACTCAAAAGCCCAATAGTGTGCTTACATTGACACAATTAGTTTTGATTGAAAACAATGTCCTCCCCATGAGATGGTGGTGTAGTCCCAGAGATGCGTGACCTGTGTCAGATGTGAGGGAGGATGTGGAGGAAATGTCTGGCAAGCAAAACCATCTGTCAGGATGGAGTAATATACGTTTCCATGGCAACTGCACCTTTTAAATCCCAAACTGTAGCGGAGATTCTGACCTGAGAAATACCACAGGTGACTTTAAGTCTGCCTCCAATTAATCTTTAAGATGTCAACTGTTCCGAGGAACCGTAGCTTCAATGAAGATTTCAGACCTTTTGCGAAATGTTCCTTTCTTGTGTGTAATAATGACATCTTCTGTCCTCCAGAAATAGTGAACTTGTAAACATAAATAAATAGAAGTGAAAGTCAGGTTTTTCCATACATTAGTAAATCCGACACTTCTGATTTGTTGATACCTGGCTGAACAGGTATGATAGATTCATCACATCCATATGAATACAACAATATCAATGAACCTGTCTCGATGTATTACTGATAGAAACAAAATGAACCCCAGCTTGTTCAAGGGCACTTTGGTTCAAAAAGCACCAGGTTTAAAATTGAGATAAAAGTCAAGTTCATAAATCACTAGACCACACACAGAATCTGATGTAGAAAGTGCTATTGTTAATGTGACAGAAGGTTTCCTGCTGAATGAAGAATGGCCAGCAGGTGGGCCTGTGCCAAGGATCTGACATTCTAATGTCCCTGTGCATTGCATGCTTGGCCCATAGCTGTTATAAAATTATCCAAAGGACACCCAGGGGCCACAACACTGAGTGAAAAGTTATGAGATCTATGTATAGATGAGGAAATACTATACATTGTCACCAATTGTAGTTTCATTCCATTCACACTTATATGGCAGTTTCAAGTGCACTTCACTGAACTCGACAAATTTAAAATGACAACTCTATATATCCATACGTTTGAAAAAAAGATATCAGACATATAAATATTAAGATGTGTGCAGTACATGTATATTCAATGGCTGATAGGCCTTAGGCTATTTTGAGAGAAAACTGACTGTTGAGTGAAAACTGACCATCGTACTCTTGGGCAAAATAGCAGGTCATTGACTATAAGCATTTCAAATGTTAGCTTGCAGCTCTTCAATTGCTCATTCTTCCTTTTAATAAGACTTTCTGTGTTAAAGGTTTTCTGTAGAAATTTCAGTAAGAATTTTCAGTAAAGAGTCACGTACCTTGATCTTAACAAGAGCCCACTTCCAAGTCCTCCAAGAAACACCATGAGAGAATCCTGTTTGGATGAATGCCTTTCCCTCAGCAAGTGGAAAGTTTAAAAGTACGGAAAAGTGTGACTCCGGCTAGAGGAAATGGGCTGTCCCTGTGTCTGTGGTGCTGAGGACGTGTTACATTCCAAACTTGACCTCTGGAGCTGGTCACTGCTGGGTGTGATTGTTCGCTGCTCTAACTGCTCTCTGCACAACCCGCACTGGTCCTATATCCACACGCCTGCTGCCCGCTGCCCAAACCCAGGCCCTTTGATAGGGAAGACCTGTTGAGCGATGGTTAACTGTAAGTGTAAGGCCCTGCCCACATCCCCTGTGGGTGGTGAAAACACATCAGCAGTTGCTAGGCAACAAGGCAGAGTCCGGGGTTACCAGCCCTGGCAAGGCCTGAGCAGTGCTAGAGCAGCAAGACACAAACTGCCTCGTATCTCCTGGTCTCATCACTTTGTGTCATGCCAGAACAACTTAGTATGGTGGCTTTTGGAAAATTTAGGGCTTTACAAGTCAGATAAAACAGATATCATAATACATTGGGGATTTCAAGGATTTATCCTGGTGCTTCTGTTACATGTTTCTATTGGCAAAGGGAAACGATTAAAGCCCTAGTTTTGGCAATGGGAAGAGAGGCAGTTAGGGACCGAAAAACCAGATAAAACCGGTAATGGCCAAGCATGAAGAGATGAGGATTCTGGCTTGGTTTCTAAGGTGTCCAGTTTCCAAAGGCAATTTGTTGTGGAGGGCAGGACCAGAAGCCGAGGCTGTCTGTCTGGAACATGCCAGGGTTTATCACCCCTGAAGCGAGACTGACTTAGTCAAACAAATCCTGGCTACTGTGCTTGTTTGGATAACAGAGGAAGTCACACAAAGCAAGTTCATGGTCATGGCAGCAGCACACAGTGTTCTTAGCTATGCTCTGCCATTCATTGGTATAGCAGTGCAATTATTTTGATCAGACAGTAAAAAAACCAAAGTGCATTAGCAGAAATACACAGCATACATATACAGGTGACCAAGGCTGATGTAAAAATGTGACAGGTACATACATGATGTTCATTGTACTCAACAATGAATCACTTTCCAGGTGAATTCCAGATTACAAAAAGCATGGTTCAGAAGAAAGAAGTTTTTCCCACTTGTCATCAGAACGTGTCAGTATGATTGACAGCAAACAAAAGAATGTAGGTCCATTGTTCATTGAAGAAAAAACATCACCACACAGTCCTAGAGACATGTCATTATTACACACAAGAAAGGAACATGACCTGGGTCAGGGGACAAGTTGTCAAACCACTTTATATTTAGTGACTCTATTTGTTTTTATAACTTTTTATTAGAACATGCTTGAGGAAAAGATGTCTGCTGTAACAGCAGATCTGCAGCTGACCCTTAGTGACCAGCAACTCTATCCACACAGACCTGTTGGCAGAGGTTACTCACAACAGGTGAATGATAGTGAGGCTGAGTTGGTATGAAACATAAAAAAACGATGTCCTTGGGAGAGAAGACACATGGGAAACTGTTTAGTTTTCTTTATGATAACTTTATAGTTGGGTCAATGGTTCATGACACCCTGTCTCTGATATGTAGGGTTTTTCCATTGTGTCTCCAACCACCCCCCACCCCCCAGCAAAATGCTTTAAACTCTCATCACTTGTCCGCTGGTGGATGAGTCCGCAGTCTAATTGCTGTACAATGTACGTGAATGTTTATCCCATGTGAATTGGTAGCCCAGCCTTTCCAGCTAACTTTTCATCTTTGCCCCAACTTTGCTTGCCCAGATAGACTCCGTTCTGGCCCAATGAGTGCATTTATAAACACATCAGGTTTGTAATTTTCCGGTTCATAGTGGCATACAACCCTGGCAGCACCCTACATCAGGAAGTGTCATCAGCAGGTTGGACCCCAGCCTCCTCCTGTTACATTTATCTCCTGGCCTCTTGTACCCAGATGCCTGGGCTGCAGATGGATAGGACAAGAACCGGCACACACAAAGCTCAGACCTTGTGATCCATGGACACATTTCCTCCTTTTCTTGTCCTAAAGCCTTTCCATGTGTGGTTCAACGATGAAAGTAAAGAAGGTGATGCAATGAATAACTTCCGTTCGGATTTATGGAGGGTTATTTACTGTCTACTATTTTTGTAGCAAACTTCTTTTCAGTCTTTTGTGCAGGCTTTTCAAAATAATGGAAACTAGCATCATAAGGACAGATTTTGACAAGGTTACCTCAGTATAATTTCTTTCAACTCACAAGACTTACCCTTCATCACTCTGTATACGTACCAGAACAAAGTATTAAGCTGGTACGGCCTAACGTTGATTTGTGTTTCTTTAGCAGATAAGTAAAAATCCCTGTAAAGTCAAGAATTTAGAGTTGACATGTCTACCAGTCGAATCACATTCCAAAAGGCTTGAAATAGTCATACCAGCATCATAGCAGATTTTGCAGCATATTTTTTAATCACAAACCTGATCCCAAATGTTTGCAGAAGGATTGTGGGATTGTCACTAGACTAGCAGGCACCAGGCCTGTCAGCCCAAAATAATGTCAAACAGTGAAAACTTCAAAGCCAGGTAAATTTTTACCATTCCTTAGACAAATCCAAAATGTACAGAAATTCATATCAAGGATTCCACAGTTGTGAATGTGTGGAGTATCATTTAAAGGACTCTCATGAAGTATAAGTCTGTGCTGTAGCCCCACACAAATGTACTGGGATTGCCAGATATGGATCTATTCTGCTACTGTATGTGAGGAGTGGGTGGATGGGACTTCATTGGTTCTACTGCAGACTCATTGGTGAAATGGTTATCTTAGATTCAAACTGGTGCATAGGTTATCCTATGGGAAACCTTCAATCTTGGCACAGTATCTGTAGCAGGAAATTGGCTTGGATTATCTCATTTAAACAAATTAGTCACTTAATTATGTTATTGCAAGATATTTCCTATAAGAAGTTGGCACGGAAAAAATGTGGGTCTGAGCCAACCATTTTGGATAGAAAGCACCCCTCATCTGTCAGAGGAAGGAGTCAGTTTGCCTTACATGTAACTGCTGGAAGAAGGATTTACACTCAATGTTGTCTGTGTCATTTTTATATTCTGTGTAGGTTGCAATATAAACTTACTGCAATGTATTAGCTAGAATGCACCAAGTCAGTCATTTAGAATTGACATGCTTTGTTTAATCAATATTCAAATATGAAAAATTATAATGGTTATGATAGCTCTACCTCATCTTTAGAATAACATACAAGATATATTATTATGTAATTGTTATGGTTCATACTCACAAACAGGCTTGTAGCCACTCCTTTCCTACTGCCTTTGAACTTTGCACATGAGGAAGTGCAGCTTCTGAGCATGTCATGTACATGTACACAACAGACAGCAGACAGACTTTGATAGACAGCTGAGGAACTAAGTATCTCCTTGTCAGAATGTAGAGGTCAGGGGTGAAGGTAGAGTGCATGTGTCAAGACATCTCACCAACCTCCCAAAGATAAATCAGTCTAACTGGTGCATCTATGGATGGACATCCCAGGCTCTGTCCAACAGAGTTGTAAATGAATGTGATTTACCATCAATCTAGTAAAGTATATTTACAAGACAAATGCACGTGCATGACTACCAGTACATGTATGTGTGGAGCAGCTGGATTTTTGCCACATTTTGATAATGTATGAGAAACTTTTGCTAAGTGACACTGACAAAACATAATATGCCTTTAGAATGTCCATTAGTTTTATAAGACTATTGCATAAGTCAGTGCTTTCCACCACAGAGAGAGCTTGTACGTTGCCTGGAGTCTGGCCTGGTGTCCAAGTGTGCGCAGCAGTGTGTGTGTGCCCTGACTGTGTGCAGCCTGGAGATGAGAGACGTCATGATGAGGATGCTGCCATCTGTGCTCCTGCGCCTGTCTCAGATCTCAGCCACAGTAGCCATGGCCATCCCTGTACTGGAGTTCCTCTCAGGTAATGTGTTACAGGTGTACAATGTCATGATATTCTGTTCCTTTCAACCTCAACATGTCACATACTTTGTAGCACAAAATTTGCTTCCAGATATGGTGCAGAAATAGTTTATCGGTATCTCTCCTTGGTGCTGATATAACATTTAAGGCGCCATTTTTGTTTTAGACATTATGGAGTTCTCTTGAAGTTTTTGTGGAAAAGAAAAACATTTTTTCTGTGCCTTTTCAGGTCTGATTCGGCTGCCCCACCTGTATGCCAACTTTGTAGAGGAGCAGTACATGAGCATCTTTGCCATTGCCCTGCCCTATACAAACCCATTCAAGTAAGACTGCTATGTAATGTACATTGTGTAACATCTTACTTGGAAGGAGACATTGTGATGTCTATCTATATAGACAAGAATAATGATGACTGTAAGAAAGAGTCTATCGAAGAAAACCTGACTTCATGTAGATAGAACTTGTCCTTTGTTGCTAAAAAACAGACTCCCCACTAACTGTTGTTTCTCCAGGTTTTCCCAGTACATTGTTGCCATGGCACACCATGTGATCGCCATGTGGTTCATCCGCTGCAGACTGCCCTTCCGCCGCAGCTTTGTGCAGTACATCACCAAGGTGGGCAACAGGAACTCAAGTCTACTGAGGGCTCTTCTCTTCACATTCTTAGAATTTGAATAGGACATTAAGCAGTATTAATAGTACATGTGTCAGATTATATGAATTTGTCACTGTAGTATATAAAGTAGAGTGGATGTACCAGTATTCCTCAAGGTAACAGGCATCTTTCACACTGCAGTCATCCTTCAGTAGAACATCTAAAGCTGCATACATGTACATGTACAAATAGTTCCCAATTGGAGCTTTTATTCACCTTGTCACTTTGTCAGTATAATTTATCAGAATGTGAAGGCTTTGTGCTACCTTCTCAATGCTGCAGGGTCTGAAGTCTAACGTGCCAATAGAAGACCGGAGTGCGTCCTCCCCCTCCTCCCATCACTCCCCTGTGTCCAGCACACAGGAACAGTTCAGGACCAGGAGCGCCAGCTTCACCGAGAGGCCCAGAAGGTCAGACTCTACAGATTTGTTTCTCAGCTCCAGTCAGAGAAAAATACATTGGTATAATGACATCTGTTACAGGATAGTAACAGTTACAGTATAGACAAGGACAGTTTCTGCCATAACCAGTGGTCATTTCAACAACAAAAGTTTTTGAAATATGGGTTGGACAAGTTGTGGTAGAAGTGTTGTATTTTCCTCTATAATATTATTTGTTTTCCTTTTACTCTTATCGCTGGCATCCATAAAGTTGTGTGGTTTAATAAACCCTGATCTTAAGTTAGAGATATAGGCTGTCATTGGCTGTAGAACAGTAGTTTCCTTAATTATTTGTAGTCTAAAGAGATACATGTATTGTTTGTATGGAAAGGACATTCTTTTTTTGTAACAGCATTCATCAATACTAAGGTTGCAGGTGCATTCATCAGGAAATGTCATGTGTAATCATTGCTGATTATGATGCTGCTGCTTCTGTGTGTGAATTCCACAGTGGTAAGATCACATACCAAACCCCACATGTATATAGGCCCTACCCTTAGCTAAAAACCTCTATCAAT